GGGTAAAACTGCTCAGAATCCTTCGTCCACAAACTAAAAAGACCCAGACATATATGAATTGATGCTAAATGAAGTCATCTTTCAGAAACATTATGTCTATCAAGTGGCCCTTGAACTTCCCAAAACCCATGCTGAGTCCTGGCCTAAATGCTCAAATAGACCGATTTAATATACAGGGTGACCGGAAAAAAAGGAGACCATTGAAGTAATCAATTTCTCCTAAACTAGACAAGTGCCATCAATGAAATTTTGCATACACTGGAAGAGTTATATGGAAATTTGTTACTGAAGGTTTCAATACAAGCATTCAACTGGTTCAGGAGCTATGATCATTTACATAACATGCTCCAAATAGGCACAATTGAGACCAACGCAGAGTTGGATTCATATGGCAAACTACCCTTACATGTTCTGCCCTCTATGGCATTATTATGGCATTACATATAGCAGTGATTGCCTTCTTTAGGTCAACAATAGTCTGAGGATTGTTTTGGTATAGATTGTCTTTCAAATATCCATACAAAAAGAAATCAGCAGGATTCAAGTCTAGGCTGTAATGGCAATGAAGGGTTATCTGACATGTGGTTCATCATCCTGTTGCCAAAGTGCTGATTTACCAAATCTTAAGAGTCACTTTAGGTATTGGGCATAGTGCCATGTTACTGAGTGGGACCACTGAGTCAGAAGCCATAGGTCAGATAAGCTTCGTCTCCATACACCTCAAATTTGAATCCACCTGATTTCTTTTTGTGGGGCAATTTGAAAGACAATGTGTACCAAAACAATCCTGAGACAATTGCTGACCTAAAGGTGGCAATAAATGCTAAATGTAATGCCATAACAAGGTCGGAATATGTAAGGGTATTTGCCAAATGTATCCAGCTCTGCGTTGGTCTCAATTGCGCCTATTTGGAGCATGTTATGTAAATGATCATAGCTCCTGAACCAGTTGACTGCTTGTATTGACACTTTCAGGAACAAATTTCCATAGAACTGTCCTGATGTATGCAAAATTTCATTGATGTCACTAGTCTATTTTAGGAGATATTGCCTATTTCAATGGTCTCCTTTTTTCCGGTCAAGTCTCGATTTGGGGAAAGAAGTTCATCAGTGTACTGCGCTAATATTTTTTTGCGAAAAATCTAGAAATATTACCCAAATTAAATTATGACTATTCAAAGGAAGACATTCAAATCTTTATTATGTAAAAAAATCAAATTTGTCCGAAGCAGGGATAATGCTCATTTAGATTGATGAACTTCGTTCTCCAAACCGAGAATCGTCCTTTCTTGAATCTTTTGGGAGATATTGTATTTGAGATGGTAAGGAACAGATTGGTAGGTCAGTTGTACATGTTGCTTGTAATTTTGTCACCCCCTCCCCCTATAGATCTGATTCTGCCTTTAATAACTATTCGATAGCGACTGTGATGGCGGGTGATATTCGCATCAATTTGTGATATTTTATTGATTAAAAAGGGCAACGGTAATATTATAGCACAATGTATGGTCATTGAGCCTAATCCTCTCTGAGACAAGAATTTGACCTTTGAAACAATGTGTCATGCTCCGATTAGCACTTGATAATTCAAACATTTTGGTTAGTTTATACTACTTGACTGTACCGAAATAAAAAGAAGCCTTCAAAGTAATTTCAATGATGCTTTCTTGTTTTCCATAAATGTACATATGTTCATCGTATACAGAAATGTATTTTTCTGCCTGTTCATCTATTTGGATATGAACACAATCTCTCCATACCAGTTAAGTGAAAGTGCTGAATAATTAACCTGGAATGAATTGTTATTTTTGTCCTGGTGTATTCCAAGCGTGACGCACGTCTCACCCCCCCCCCCCCCCCCCCCCCGACACACATACCCTCTCATTTACTATATGGAGTGTTGTGTGATGCCTATTATCAATCAACTCATGATAAATATGAATTGCTCAATGAGACATCGATGTGTCACACCCATCCTGAAATGTACTTCAAGTGGGCGTGGCTCATCGATAAAATAAGGGTCGCGAGTAAATCTCAGGCACGACATGGAAATCTGAAATTATAGAGGGCGCATATTCATTTTACACACGGCGAAATGAAATGAGATTTCCCGGGAAATTTTGGACAATACTAGTATATTAATAGTCTATTGTACATTGTACAACCACATTTGACCAGCACGATCACAAATCACATAGGGACCAATTAATATGCTCTAAAACAATCAACCACGTTCTGACCGAGCTTAGTAAAGAAAAAATATCAAGGATCAAGGTAAATCACTTATGATCAGGAACAATCACCTAAACCAGGGACAATCAACTAAGATTAAAACAATTGAGTACAATCACAGTATCAAAACAAAATATTAAGAATCACAACCAAATAATTGCCCAGAAGAGTCAAGAAAAATTTAAAGTAATAAAAACAATCACTTAAGATTAAGAACAATCACCTGTAAAATTGTTTAGGATCGACCCAATCCCTAAGGATCAAGACAGATACCAAAGATCAAGATCATGAGGATATTTCTAAGGATCAAAAACATTATCACTTAAGATCAATAACAATCACCTAGGATCAAGATTAATCACTTAGAATTAAGAACACCAATGGCTCAGAAGAAATTTTTGGATCGGGAAAAATCACTTAGTGTGCTGTTAATGGGTTCAATAATGTAACTTAAAAGTCCAATATAAGATGAGATATAATGCATTTTTATTTGAGACATAAATACTATAACTTGACAGACATCTAGCAGCCCCTCGGCTATTGGCTAAAACACATCACGTGGTACAAAAGTAGGTCGAATTTGTGTAGTCCCGCCATATTTAGACAGACTTCCGGTACAAGTGCACTTGGATTTGCGCCCTCTATAATTTCAGATTTCCATGTCGTGCCTGAGATTTACTCGCGACCATAAAATAAGTTCCCCCATAACTGTATATGGCGATTAAGATTAGCGAAAATAGCCCATTTACTTTACAGGATTACAATTACAGGATTTGCGATACGTAATTACCTATAAATGGCCGAAGATAGGTGATGTGAAAACGTAATATGTTTTTATCTAAAAAATTATGTCATTTATAGATCAAATATCATTCATCGAACTTTAAAATATGGACGACAAACATTTCTCATACAATCTGCATAGAAATCGTATTAAGTGGTCAAACACAACCATTGATGCGATAAACGATACCATGTGAGGTTGCATAACTAGTATAATTGTAACAGTATGTTAGTCGTTTTCTCGTTGTTTTAATTGTTTAATTTTACTATTCAGTGTCAATCTCGTTGCTGGATCATGCAAGACATTTAACGTTTCGTCCCATTAGCAACACCCCCCCCCCCCCCATTACAGCAGCTATACCACGTTCTCTCTGAAATATATATAATAACAGTTCTTGATGGTGACATATACTAACAAATGCCATACAAGCCACGTATATTTGTGATGTCATTTTTATCGTAAATTTTTGCATTCAATTTCGTAGCCTTTTACGTTAATCTTAAACTCATGTTACAAAGCTCATTACCTAATCTATATTTGAGACTTTTTATGTTAGTCTCAGCCTATACGTGTCCGTAACAAAAATACGGATGGGGATATGTATATGTAATGTTTTTACGCTAATCGTAACCTCAAAAATACACGATATATCCTGCCTCGTGCTATGATTGGTGTTTTTTTGCATATGAGGTGATTAGGGATATATCCGCTATTATTACAGATATGGTTTTCTTGGATCAGTGCCCCCTTCACGCGATGTAATTACCACGGATGACAAAATTATCTATTCATATCATTGGATGAGGACTCCACCTCAACACTTTTTTCAAAATAATTGTATTCGGAATATTTTCTAATTTTTATAAACATATTATAAACATATTATTATTTTAATGAAATTGTATTTATTGAGTGGTAGTGTCAACGATATGACTGTCTTAAACCATTTTCAAAACCATACGGGGTCTTTTGCACATTATAACCATACGTTAGTCGTTTTTCAGAGTATACTTTTCTCTTACATGCCCTTATCTTATATAACAGTTTCATTAAATACATAATTCAGAGGAAGGCGATGCCGTTTTACATGCGTGCTATATTGTTGCATCTTAAGCCACCAAGGTATTTCATATAGAAATACACTGATTAATAGTATGATATTGTCGAATATGTCGACTTTATTGCCCTGTCATAATACTGTTTTGTTTTTAAATGTGTTCAAGAGACCGATAAACTACTATGTATATATAGCTTGCTAAATGGTTGGGCGGTGTTGGCTATTATTTTGTTTTGTTAAGTTTTGAGTGACGCATCACTAACTACTACATGAACTGCGTCCACTTTGCGTACTTAAACCATGATTCATTCCAAGTAATAATTCGGGAGTAAGAACAAGGTGAACAACACGTTATCAGGATGCAGCTGTACAATCTGGCCCTGGGGACGGTCCTATTATTGGAGGCGATAGTCAATGTTAAGGGAGGTAAGACTAGTATGAAAGATATCCATTTTCTTAACAATATTCGTGATATGAATCACTTTAGCCTGGCTTTCTTTTCATTAGGTATTGCTAGAACAAAAAATATTTAATGAGAATAGCATCAGACACGTAAATTACAGGGAACTCTCCTAAATTTCACAAACCATAAACAAAACAACATTTTTAAAATGGCAAAGCAATGACGTGATAAACTCATCAGCGTATATTTTCAAAAGTTTAAACCATTACCTAAAAGATAAAAAAATATTATGATATCATGGTCGAAGTACAAATCCAAATAAGGTATTCTTGAAAGAGACTCAACGACCACATTAGACAATTCTAGCAAATACACCTTATTAACCATTGCATTGTCATTGTTATTGTTATTGACTGTAGACGAAACCCCAATTGAGGTCAACGGTGTATATTGGGTCCATAAACAGGGTCAATATCTCCCTGGCAACAATGACGACAAAACTGAAGGACTTTCACTGGAAGAGTGCCTCGAGAGATGTGCTAAAATGACTGCCTTCGAGTGCAGATCTGCAGAATATGTTCAAAGCAAGCAGATATGCATCATAAGCACGAGTAATAGGGGTGACGCCGGGTCCACTCGAACCATTGGTAACATGGATTACTACGAGCGAGTAGAGTTTTCACGTAAGCATGTTTTGCATCACAATGGCTTTAATTGAAGGCTCCATATTTATCTTTACTATATCAAATTTTCGTATCGTATTTTAGTCTTAGGAAGTGATTCGTTCGCAAAAGCTCACGGAATCATGGAAAACAAAATTTCTATTTTCGTAACTCGCTTAATGAGTTCCTCCACAGTGATACTAATGTTTCGTATTATTATCCATACTTGATATTGTATACTTTTTTTCATATTATAATACGTACTTAACAAATCATTGTAGACTTCTCAATTATAGTAGGTTCTACTTTTTACCATAATATGTGTTCCATATTTACTATTTTATACTTCTTTTCTACATCATTTCCAAACGTGACAGTGGCAACTTATTTACGTGAAATGAAACTATTTGATATCAACTTAAAAAAGACAAATCAATAATCATGTAACTATGAACCTAAGTTAGCATCATTCACTTACAAAGTCCTTCATAGATTTTTAGCAACTAATACTATTACCTAAAAATGTGTGGACTCATAGAGTCAAACATTTGCACTTTTTGTAAAGCAAATCCTGAAACGATTTGCCATCTTCTGTATGAATGTACTATTGTAAGTGCTTTATTAAATGACATTAAACAATGGCTCCCTTTAGAGCTCACATTGCTATGTACTAAACAAAATGTATTGATAGGACCTGCGAGTATGAATGAGAAGACAATCATCCTAAATAATATGCTATGTATTTTTAAAAGGTATGTTTATTTGTGTAAACATTTTATGCTAAAACCAACACTTAAAGGTTATATAAGTAATGTGAAGGAATATTTTATTATGGACAAACGGGTTGGCAGAGGCGATAAGTGGAAAATCATGGAAGCAAAATTAAACAAATGATACTGATGATTTTTTCCAATTAAATAAAAAAGATTGCCAATGGTATAACATTTCTTAAAGACTAATGTTTAACCAATACTGTATTGTAAAATTGTAAAATGTATATTTACCATGTAACTGTAAATGTAATTGTTTTTTGCAATTGCTTTGACATGCTTATTCTTTGAAATAAAAAAACATTATAAAAAAATAATGTATGTAAATATTAATATCGACTTGAAAAGATACGTCTCACTTAACTTTGATTGTGTTAAATAATATAAGTATAAATTCGTTTGAGCAACAAGTGGTATACTCGCACCTTATTTTTCAAATATTGCTTTGTAGACGAAACCCCAGTTCAGGTGAATGGTGCATATTGGGTCCGGAAACAGGGTCAATATCTCCCTGGCAACAATGACGACAAAACTGAAGGGCTGTCATTGGAAGAGTGCCTCGAGAGATGTATTAACATGGCTGCCTTCGAGTGCAAATCTGCAGAATATGTTCAAAGCAAGCAGATGTGCATCATAAGCAGGAGTAATAGAGATGACGTCGGGTCTACCCGATCCATGAATATGATGGATTATTACGAAAGAGTAGAGTTCTCAGGTAATCATTGCATTTTATTCTTAAATGTGTGTTGTAATCTGTGGGATAAAGTTAATGAAAGACATGAACACTTCAGTGAGTCTTTCTCAACAGGGTGCAACATATTTTAACTTTTTCTACATGGTGTCCTAAAAAACAGGACCGTAAGAAAGTTAGATAACATGCCCCAAATGTGCACCTCTCCTCTCTATGAACAATTCAATCAGGCGAACAAAGTTGTTGATGATCCCCCTACACACATGTATTTCTGAATGGACAAGTTTCTTCCAAGAACATTTGGTACTCTGGCTAACATCCTCCTAATGAAGGGTCATTAACAACTTTGTTCGCAGGATTTATTTGTGCATAGAGAGAAGTCCCATTTTGAGTATGTTTTGTAAGATACTATAATGAAACAATAGACAGATTATCATGAAACTTTCACAACAAAATTCACAATTCACATTGAATGAACTAAAAATTCTAAAATATCAAGGCAAAATATGTAAAATTGACCGAGTTATTCAACTTTCTTACGGTCCTGTTTTTTGGAGACCCTGTACAAAGGATGACGTGTAATTTTCAAGTTTTAAAAGCATGCAGATTTATCCGGTTTATCGAATGATGTACAGTGATGATTTGAATACGAAAATGAATTTGAAATACTGAATACATGTATACCTATTAACTGTACTTTTTCATGTGAGTTTGCCATTAGCTTGTCATGCATGCACTTATGTATCGCAATAATGGACTCTAGAATTTAACTTCACACATTTTATTTACGATCAATTGATGAATAGATTCTCCCTAAGATCTTCGAGCATGAAATTAAACATTTTATGAACTATTTCGACCTCTCAGTGAATATTTTAGCCATTTTAAATTTAAAATAACGATTTTGGAAATCTCACTTCTGGACATTTGAGGGATCATAACAACAATGTTTAAGCTGATATGCCCATATATATCAATCCACTTGAATAACAAGTAAGCCTATGAGCTTTCAGATAGAAGTATGAAAAAACAAAAATATATTTATATACATATTTCTTATAAATGTCATTTATTGTGACTTGCAGGCGTTACATCACCACCGCCGACATCAAGACCCACTGGAACTATGGAGCCACCAACCGACACTAAAACTCAAACCACATTGCCAGTAACTCATTCTCATCATGGAACTACTCCTGGAGGGGATAGCTCAATACCAGATCAGACCACAGTGCCAGGTTCTCATCATGGAACTACACATGGAGGGGTTAGCTCAATACCAAATCGGACCACAGTGCCAGGTTCTCATCATGGAACTACACCTGGAGGGGTTAGCTCAATACTAGATCAGACCACAGTGCCAGGTTCTCATCATGGAACTACACATGGAGGGGTTAGCTCAATACCAGATCAGACCACAGTGCCAGGTTCTCATCATGGAACTACACATGGAGGGGTTAGCTCAATACCAGATCAGACCACAGTGACAGGTTCTCATCATGGAACTACACATGGAGGGGTTAGCTCAATACCAGATCGGACCACAGTGCCAGGTTCTCATCATGGAACTACACCTGGAGGGGTTAGCTCAATACCAGATCGGACCACAGTGCCAGGTTCTCATCATGGAACTACACCTGGAGGGGTTAGCTCAATACCAGGTCTAAGAGGTTTGTTTAAACTCAATAAAAATGCAAGCTAATGCAAGAAAATGCAATCCCCTAATTTTGGTATGATTTTTTCTGGTGGAATTTTTATAAATTTTATAAAAAATTCTAATCTGTATAGGATTGCTCTCGCACTATTTCTATTGATATGATCAGTATGAAAAACGTCAAAAATATCAAACGTTTTTTTGAAATTTCAAAAATGCAGATCTTCTAGATAACATTCAATATAGGTACATACACGACAATTCTACAAAATTTATGAAATAATTTCAAGCAAGCTGTAAAGCGAAGAGAAATTGTCTATTTCCATTAATTTTGTGATAACTCTTCTCTTAAAGGATGTGATATTGATGGTACAATATACAATATTGGAGATGAGATTAAGCAGGATGACCCATGTACCAATTGCAGATGTGAATTGCAATATGGAACGCAGAGGGGCTTTAAGATGTGTTCAATTATTGACTGTGCACCAACCTTCTGTGAGAATCCACTCTATATTGAAGGAGTTTGTTGTCCTACATGTGAACCTTTAGGAAAAGGTATACCCAACGATTGATTAAAAAGGAATAAGTATACAATCTAATCAAAATGACAAACATATCGAAAAAATCGGACTAATATAAAAACTCATGAATCGAAAATCCTTTGTTGGGAGTATACATCCAATATAAAATGGTAATTTTAAATATATATATGAAAAAAGGTTGTGATATTGATGGCAAGTTGTACAATATCGGAGATGTGATTGAACAAGACGATCCGTGTATGGAATGTAAATGCGAACAACTAGAGTACGGGACAACAAAGGGAACCAAAATGTGTTTAACTATGAGTTGTCAAGCACCACCATGTGATAATCCAGAATATATCGAAGGAGTGTGTTGCCCTGTGTGTGATCCTGGAGAGAAAGGAGGTAATGATTGCTGAAATTGATTATCTGGGGCAAAATGTGTTACGTCAAATGGATCTTTATTTATTTGAGTTTTTCTGATAGGTTTACCATATTGTTGATTTTACGTCAAAATCAAATTAACGAGCATCAGACCATTTCAATTCTATTAAATCTCACATCTGTTTCTACACTTGTGTCTTGGAAATCCTTTTCAAAAGTATACGTGCAAATAATAGCTTCAATGTTTTTTCATAAAAGGATGTGAAATCGATGGCAAGTTGTACGATATCGGAGATGTAATTGAACAAGAAGATCCGTGTATGAAATGTAAATGCGAACAACTAGAGTCCGGGAAAACAAAGGGGACCAAAATGTGTTCAATTATGAGTTGTCAAGCACCTCCATGTGATAATCCAGAATATATCGAAGGAGTGTGTTGCCCTGTGTGTGATCCTGAAGAGAAAGGAGGTAATGAATGTTACATTTGATTATCAAAGCAAAACATATGCTATGTAAAATAAATCTTAAATTTGACTGTTCCTGATTAGATTAACTATTCTCGATTGTATTTCCAAATCAAATCAATGGACATGCGTCCACTCCAGTTCAATTAAAGTACACATTAATATAAGGAAGAACCACATCCATAAGGGGTGCCAATTTGCAAGCAACATATATGATTGACCTACCCATTTACAACAAGGACAGTGTTCAAGTCGATGATAAATTCTTTTTATATATTTGTAGCTTCACTCAGTATTTAGTCTACCTTTTCAAAAAAGCATTAGAATACTAGTGATATCAATCTGATTTATTTGACAGTGTGCAAATACGACGATAAATACTTTCAAAATGGCTCCTCCTTCCCCGCTAACGATGGATGCAACAGGTGTATTTGTACCGATAGACAGGCTCGATGTACAGAAATGCATTGTGGTACGTCCAAACATGTATAATCATATTTTGATCGCCTTAAAATGGTGTAATGTTCTTATAATTGTTTAGCATCTGGATTTCTGGTTCCTCATACAATTGTATATACTTGGGCTGTGAACATTGGGAAAGGAATTGAATGTGAAGCTGACACATTTATTTCTTCTTTTAGAAGTGTTCTATATTGTGGGGGAATGGATGATTCGTGTGCCCTGCTGAAATTCGGGTATACTGACATAGAAGTAATTGATGATAAACGTGGTTTACGTATTATTTGTTTCAGAGAAACCTGGTATGTGCCCAAGAATCGATTCTGATTCTGTAGGTATATGCATACATGAATGTGACAAAGATGACAGGTGCCAAGGCAAAAAGAAATGTTGCTCAAATGGATGTGGAAAGATCTGTACGGATCCAATAGGTATGTGGTATTGTGGTAATGGATTAAGCCTGATCTCGAATGCAGTTCACTGCTGCATAATAACAATACTATCTCAAGTGGCTACCCTAGTCCGGTGAGAAAGAAGGGGTCCCATTAACCAAAGTTAACTATAATTTTAGATGCCGATGTGGTGTCTACTTTGATTCAGAATTGTCATTTCGTGGCTCCTATATAATAGCAAAGAACCTAAACCTTTGTGAACACGTGTGATTTTTGAACTGTACTTTCAGAATGCTTTTAGGTCGACTCTCCTCTATATAAGTGCAAAGAGGGTATAATTTTGTTAATATGCGTGATTTTAACTAATTCCAGACTGCAGTTTGGTCGACTGTCCTCTATATGAATGCAAAGCGGGTATGCCTTTGTTTACATTTGTGAATTTTAACTTTAGTTTCAGATGCAGTTTGGCTGACTGTCCTCCATATAAATACCCTTTGCATTAACTTTAATTTCAGACTGCAGTTTGGTCGACTGTCCCCTATATTTAAGGGTAAAATTTGTTGACATGTGTGATTTTAATTTCAGACTGCACTTTGGTGAATTAGTTTCCCAAATGAGTGCAAAGATGTTAACTTTGTTACATCTCCAATTACTCAATTTATGACAAAGAATGTGATTCATATCTAACAAATCGTTGTATCTTCCAGAACAGAGTGGTTGTTCCTCAAGCCCTTGTATGAATGGTGCTAGCTGTGTGCCCAGAGGAGGTTTGTTTATGACTCAAGATGGCAGAGATTTTGATTGCATTTGTCCTGATGAATTTGAGGGTGACTTTTGTGAAAACAAGAAAACTGGTAAGTTATTCTGCAATATTAACAATACTAATTAAAGCGACTGCTATAGTCCAGTAAGAAGGAAGGGATCCCGTGTATCCAAGTTTACTCATTTTAGATATTGATATAATGTTTACATTATGTATGCATTGTCATCGCATGTCAGCTTTATCGCAAAGAGGGTCCTTCTTTGTGAACCCGTGTGGCTGTACTAGTGGTGTCAATTAACCGCTTGAGCATTAACCGGTTAACCGGGGGTTTTTACCGGTTAAAGTCGGTTAACCGGCGGGAAATTTGAACTGATAATTTCAAATGAAATCTTCATCTTCGATCTTGAAAGTTGAAAAAATTGGAAAAATGATATATCGGCGTTTATTTTTACGTTCGTCAAGCTTTACTCTATTCTATGTAAGTAAGCGCGGGAAAGCAATGTGGCAGGAATTAAAGTTGCTGATTGGATGTTTGTGAGGAATTATCGGACCTATCACATGTATGAGTAGCTCACATGAAATTGACGCTTGAAAAACAAACAGATTAAAATGCAAAGTAAGCGCGGGAAAGCAATGTGGCAGGGATTAAGTTGCTGATTGGATGTTTGTAAGGAGTTATAGGACTTATGACATGTAGGAGTAGCTTACGTGAAACTGACACCATAAAACCAAACGGATTAGCATGCAAAATAAGCGCGGGAAATAACAGAATTATACACGGTCAACTAACCGCCCATAAAAACACAGACCGGTCAAGGCATTATCGGCGGTTAACCGGTTAACCGGTTAATACTTGACACCTCTAGGCTGTACCCTACATATGTGCAAAGACCGTGTAACTTTGTTTGCATGTACATGCATGGTTATAACTTTCATTTCAGACTGCAGTTTTGTGGACTGACTGTTTAATTTTGTTTACATTCGTAATTTTAACTTTTATTTCAGACTGCAGATTGGTGGACTGTCCCCTATATAAGTGCAAAGAGGGTGTAACTTTGTTTACGCCACCTGGTGAATGTTGCCAGCAATGTGGTGAAGGTAATGAACATAATGCACAGACGTTGCTCATTTTAATTGAACATTATAAACTTTCAACGTTGACTTTGCTTCTCAGATTCGGAAAAACAAAATATCCACAATTTTACATATAGGCATATTAACAAAAACATATATGCTACAGAGAAGAACGAGCTCAAAGATTCCAAAATCATTATTTAGATTGCAGTGCTGTTCGCTGTGCCAATGTAGAAAGGTGTGACGATGGATCTCTACCTTTTGTACCACCAGGAAGATGTTGTCTCCAGTGTCCTACTCCTGCGACACCTACACCACCTCCCCCATGTAGGTGACATTGCATTAATTACTATTCAGTATAAATGATTAAAGAGCAATGATCAAATGAAAGCTTATATTTGAATAACACACCAGGGATGAGATTTCATTGAGTGCAGAGAATTGCTGAATGTTCCGCTCAATTACGCCATGTTTGTTAATCACCATAATATCATTTCAGATTGTGATTATGAGGGAAAGCAATATCCTCTTGGTGATTTTAAAACTAGTAATCCATGTTTACATTGCACTTGTATGGAAGAAGGGGTAATGTGTTACTCACCTTCATGCGAAGTGCCGAAGTGTGAGAACAACACCTCACCAACAGTGAAGGATGGTGAATGCTGTCCTAGTTGTCCAGATAAACCAGGTTTGATGGGTTCATATTTGTTATGTGTACTTTCATATTAGTTGAACTTTTATTTGGAACTACTGTATACTGGTAATTTTGCCCAATTCTTTGATTTTCCTATCGCCTAATTTTTGCAGATTTAATGTCTTAAATAATTAAATTATGTTATCCAATGGGAAGTTTCTTGTCATTTGTAATGTGTACTCTCATATTAGTTAAGCTTATATTTGAACAATTATGTTTAGAGACAAACTTCACAGTTGAGAGTGTCGTGAGCCGCGTAATTTAAATCATATTCTAGTTCTAAGCTGGTATTGGCCCTAATGATGTTAAAATTTGGGTTGAACCGCTGATTAACAATTTTATAGAACAAGTTAAAAGGTATGAATTTCCTATAGCGACACTTCAATTCAATTTACGAATAGCTCGGAATATTATTTGATCGAACCACACTCTACCATAATCCATTCAAAAATTGAATTAGCCCGTTAATTGGGCTTTATAATTCCCTATTATATTTTATATATTTGACGTTTAATTTTTACAGTGTTTTAGGAATACCTTTAGATTCCAAGATAAACGTGATTCCGATATGATTCCAATACCAGTGGTTTTATTTGTCAGTGTTCAAGTCGATAATAAATACTTTTGAAATATTTGGAGCTTCACTCAGTGTTTAGTCCGCTTTTTCATTAATGAAAACCTTTAGAATGATACATTTTATTTGACAGTGTGCAAATACGACGGTAAATACTTTCAAAATGGCTCCTCCTTCCCCGCTAACGATGGATGCAACAGGTGTACTTGTACCGATAGACAGGTTCTATGTACAGAAATACATTGTGGTAAGATGTATAATCATATTCTGATAGCCTAGAACTTTAATGATCTTGTAATTGTCTTTGATCTGGATTTCTGGTCCCCCCTACAATTGTATATACTTCGGCTGTGAATATTAAGAAAGGAATTGAATGTGAAGCTGAACTAAAATACACATTCATTTCTTCTTTTAGAAGTGTTCTATATTGTGGAGAATGGATGATTCGTGTGCCCAGTTGAAATTCGTGTATACTGACAAAGTAATTAATGATAAACGTTTACGTTACTGTTTTGTTTCAGGGAAACCTGGTATATGCCCAAGGCTTTATCCTGATTCTGTAGGTATATGTATACATGAATGTGACAAAGATGACAAGTGCCAAGGCAAAAAGAAATGTTGCTCAAATGGATGTGGAAAGATCTGTATGGATCCAATAGGTATGTGGTAATGGATTAAGCCTGATCTCGAGTACAGTTCACTTTTAGTTATTCTACATTCACACATAGCATGGCAAGGTGTGTCTGATTCCAGCCAATCCGAACACAGTATTTCACATATAGAAAAGTGTGTGAAATATCAGTAAAACATGCAAGGTCACTAGTTAAACAGTTGTCATGGTGATGATTGGACTTTTCACATTGGATTTGATGACTTGCCAAATTGACCTTTGCAAAAAATGTCATTGAAAATGTGTTCTTTTAACTGATTTAGTTTCTTTTGGATCATTTTGTAGAAAAAATTGTAATGTTTGAAAAGAATTTAAGCCCAAGACTCAATGCATTGTAGCTGCTTCATTCCACTCAGGCGTTGTTTCCTAAACTTTGCATTCCTGCTGCATGGTCATGCAAAGGTTTGGAAACAACACCTTCATGGTATGATTCAGCAAACAATACACTGAGTCCAGGGCTTAAATCCTTAAATATTTATAATACTACAGTAATATTAAAATGACTGCTATAGTCTTGTAAGAAGGAATGGGCCCCGGGTATTTACCAGAATTTAAGATAACGATATGGTGTCTATAGCTACTTTGATTAAAAATTATCATTCTGTGGCCTCTTTATAATAGCAAGGAAGCTCAACCTTTGCAAGCACGTGTGCTTTTAGAACTGTACTTTCAGAATGCAGTTTGGTCGAGTGTCTCCTATATATATATATATGTAAAGTGTGTTAACTTTCGTGATTTTAAATTTAATTTCGGGCTACAGTTTGGCAGACTGTCCTCAATATAAGGGTAACGTTTGTTAACATGCGTGATTTTAAATATAATTTTAGACTGCAGTTTGGTTAATTGTTTCCTATATAAGTGCAAAGATGGTAACTTTGTTACATCTCAAATTACACAATATATGACAAAGAATGTGATTCATATCTAACAAATCGTTGTATCTTCCAGAGCAGAGTGGTTGTTCCTCAAGCCCTTGTATGAATGATGCTAGCTGTGTGCCCAGAGGAGGTTTGTTTATGACTCAAGATGGCAGAGCTTTTGATTGCAAATGCCCTGATGTATTTGAGGGTGTCTTCTGTGAAAAAATGAAAACTGGTAAGTTATTCGGCATTATTAACAATACAAATTAGAGCGACTGCTATAGTCCAGTGAGAAGGAAGGGGTCCCGTGTATCCAAGTTTACTAACTTTAGATACCAATATAATGTTTATTTTTAAAAAATCATGTAAGCATTGTCATCTCATGTGCCCTTAGCCTATATCGCAAAGAAGGTCCTTCTTTGTGAACCCGTGTGACTGTACACTATATAAGTGCAAAGACAGTGTAGCTTTGTTTGTATGTACATGCATGGTTTTAACTTTCATTGCAGACTGCAGTTTTGTGGACTGTCCCCTATATAAGTGCAAAGCCTGTTTAAATTTGTTTACATTCGTAATTTTAACTTTTATTTCAGACTGCAGTTTGGTGGACTGTCCCCTATATAAGTGCAAAGAGGGTGTAACTTTGTATACGCCACCTGGTGAATGTTGCCAGCAATGTGGTGAAGGTAATGAACATAATGCACAGACGTTGCTCATTTTAATTGAACATTATAAACTTTCAACGTTGACTTTGCTTATCAGATACGGATAAACAAAATATCCACAATTTTACATATAGGCATATTAACAAAAACATTATATGCTACAGAGAAGAACGAGCTCAAAGATTCCCAAATCATTATTTAGATTGTAGAGCTGTTCGCTGTGCCAATGTAGAAAAGTGTGACGATGGATCTCTACCTTTTGTACCACCAGGAAGGTGTTGTCTCCAGTGTCCTACACCGGTAACACCTACACCACCTCCCCCATGTAGGTGACATTGCATTGATTACTATTCAGTATAAATGATTAAAGAGCAATAATCAAATGAAAGCTTATATTTGTATAACACACCAGAGATGACATTTCATTGAGTGCAGAGAATTGCTGAATGTTCCGATCAATTATGCCATGTTTGTTAATCACCATAATATCATTTTAGATTGTGATTATGAGGGAAAGCAATATCCTCTTGGTGATTTCAAAACTAGTAATCCATGTTTACATTGCACTTGTATGGAAGAAGGGGCAATGTGTTACTCACTTTCGTGCGAGGTGCCGCAATGTGAAAACAACACCTCACCTACAGTGAAGGATGGTGAATGCTGTCCTAGTTGTCCAGATAAACCAGGTTTGATGGGTTCATAAATAGTTTATTTGTTATGTGTACTTTCATATTAGTTGAACTTTTATTTGGAACTACTGTATACGTGGTAATTTTGCTCAATTCTTTAATTTTCCTATTGCCTAATTTTTGCCAGGTTCTGCCAATTAATGTCGGTAATATTATCTTCATTAAATTATCCAATGGGAAGTTTCTTGTCATTTGTAATGTGTACTCTCATATTAGAAACGCTCATTAACAATTTTATAGATCAAGTTAAAAGGAATGAATTTCATATAGCGACACTTCAATTCAATTTCTGATTAGCTCGGAAAAGTATTGATCGAACCACACTCGACCATGATCCATTCAAAAACTGAATTAGCCCGCTAGTTGGGCTTTATACATTCCTTATATTTCATATATTTGACGTTTCAACTTTACAGCGTTTTAGGTATATTCCAAGATAAACGTGATTCCGGTATGATTCCAATACCATTGGTTTTATTTGTTAGTGTTCAAGTCGATGATAAATACTTTTGAAATATTTGGAGCTTCACTCATATTTAATCCGCTTTTTTATTAATGAAAATCTTTAGAGTGATACATTTTATTTGACAGTGTGCAAATACGACGGTAAATACTTTCAAAATGGCTCCTCCTTCCCCGCTAACGATGGATGCAACAGGTGTACTTGTACCGATAGACATGTTCTATGTACAGAAATACATTGTGGTAAGATGTACAATCATATTCTGATAGCCTAAAACTCGTTACTGATCTCTAATCTGAATTTCTGTTTCTTACTATAGTTATTACTATTCTAGTAAATATCAATTATTTTCTTGGGACAGTCGGAAAACAGTAACAATGTTAAGCTAAACTATAAATTGTCTTGCTTTCTCTTGGAAGTCCATGTAAAATCGAACTTATTCCCTCATAGTTGAACTGTTCCTTCTTGTTGGCAATTGATGCTGAGTGTTCGCACTGCCGACATTCAGGTATATCTGATATTGACACAGAAGTGATCATAAATGTTAACGTACGTATTTTGGGTTTTGTTTCAGAGAAACCTGGTATGTGCCCAAGAATCGATTCTGATTCTGCAGGTATATGTACACATGAATGTGACAAAGATGACAGGTGCCAAGGCAAAAAGAAATGTTGCTCAAATGGATGTGGAAAGATCTGCGTGAATCCAATAGGTATACAACTTTAATGAATCAGTTGGTCAATAATGATATGTAATGATGAATGCCATTCATCAATGAATGCATCTCATATGTGATTGTGTTCTAGATTATAAATGAGATAAGACTGCTCCTTTTCAGACTCTATGAAGTTGCAAGTGACTGGGAACCTTGTTAATTCAATGACGGGAATGGGTATGCCAAATGTACCAGTTTCATTGAGAAGGATGGAAATGGGAGGTGGTCATACCTTAATTGGTATGGGGTGAGTAGTATTTGAATATAACTCAAAATACATACTATAAACTTGACTGTGAATATGTTTTACATACCACAAAAATGGCCATTACTTTTGCATACCTCGTTATTTATGCTTGTTTTTCAGGAAAACTGATAACATGGGATATGTTACTACTTTACGGACAAAGGAGCCATTGGAGAGGGGCAGAAACTATTTCCTGTATTTCAGCACTGAGTATGCCTTTGAATATGTACAATACCCTTTTATTCAGGTTAGTTTATTTACTAAGTGCCTTAGTCTCTTCCAATGTTTTGTTTCCCTGTTTCATTCGGCGACTTAAAGGGACACATACATTTTCGGATTATTTGTTTTGAAGGGGTGTATGTATTGAACATTTCGTGCAATACAAAATAATTCACGGTTTTCCCAAATGCGTGCGACTTCACTCGTTTCTCTCGTCATCTTAATTGACATGTTGGTCTGTTGACAGAATCGTCGTCTCGGGTGCATCATTAAATTATTGCGAAATAAACAAGTATCAGGGTACTATAGCCACATGATGTCAGTTTTATAAAAATGTAAAGTTAATGTGTATCAAACACATTCAATTTTCGGTACACGGGTGGTACATTTTGAGCAATATATTGGGCACGTTTTCTGACAAATTCAAAAGATTCTGTTCAGTGACCTTTCCTAAGCGCCTACTTTTAGCAATTTTCTGTCACATTTTCAGAGGGCTGAAAAGAAAAATTTATTTCATCATGTTTGGGGTCATTTTGACCATGTTCATTGTGATCCTGGTCATCGGACATGTGGAACTAATTAAACTGACTGGAGGTCAAAACAGAACTCTGTTATCTTGGTTCAAAACATGTTTGAAATCCAGCATGGCTTTGTCACTTCCTGTTTTGTCATTTCCTGTTAAGTACCACGGTACCTTGAAACCAGATATCCAAGGAATAAATGATTCGGACCAATGACACACACCTTTGGTCCGAATCCCATTCTCCCGAATCAAAATGGTCCGAATCCCATTCGTCCGAATCCCAATCATCCGAATCTCATTCGTCCGAATCGCAATCGTCCGACTCTCATTCGTCCGAATCGCAATCGTCCACTCCGAATCCCACGTGTCCGAATCACATTGGGCCGAAAACTAATGATATGAGAATTAAAGACTTCGCATTATGTTTAAGTTCAACGTACCTAATATTAATAAACCTGTATTCAATTCTGTTGACCAAATCTATGCAAATGACGTTTCTCTCTTTAAGTACAGATACGTGTATTCATCCGTTTATAAGTAGCCATAATGATCAAACTTTGACAATTATCTAATAAATGAACATTGCCCACCTTTTGCAAATCCAGGACATTGTATTACCTTAACCTTTGATGGCGTTGATATTTTCTAGTTTTTAATTCCAAATGACTCGATTCTTGTTGGTCACATTTGGGCGAAAAAGGAATCAGTACCTAAGAAAGCTATGACTTTCTATTAATCCAAAATCTTTCATTCTTTTAATTTACACCAACGATCGAACCCAGCTCCATAATACATGTGAACTGAATTAAAGAACGAAATGTTCTGTGTAATTCCAGGTGTTTTTCCGACATACTGGCCAGAAGGACATGTACCACTTTACGGTTGTGGCAGGAAGATTCTCATATTCTGTAAACCAACTACCGCCAATGAGTCGCGAGATGATATCCATCATCTTAGAGAACATGCCTGGAGAATGGGATGATCGTCAGAATGACACCATCGATTCTGGATCTGCCTCCGGATTTGATTCTGGATCTGGTTCCGGATCTGGCTTGGATGCTGGATCTGATTCTGGATTGGATTCCGGATCTGGTTCTGGATCTGGATTGGATTCTGGTTCTGGATTTGATTCCAGTTATGGTTCTGGATTAGGCTTGGATTCCGGATCAGGTTCGGATTCCGGATCAGGTTCGGATTCCGGATCTAGTTCTGAATCTGGATTGGATTCTGGATCGCAATTGGATTCTGGATCTGAATTAGATTCCGGATCTGGATTGGATTCCGGATCTGGTTCTGGATCTGGCTTGGATTCCGGATCTGGATCTGGATTTGATTCGAGATGAAAAGAAACAGAAAACAGGACAAAGAGGGCTAAGAATGGGGTATGGGAAATTAGGACTATGACAACTCTTTTTCTGGGTCCAGATTGGACTAAGAATGTCTCTATTATGCACCAAAGCAGATTCTTTGGCTGATTTTCCAATGTATCCATTGTTAATTTGGGTTTAAATTTTGCTCAATCATACAGAACTGTGTATAATTCATGATATTGTAATTGTTTAATTAGCATAAGGTATAAGTATATGTATACTATACAATAAACTATAGGTATACTATTCTTCAGTATTGGAGGCTAAAAAAATTAAATATAAAAAGATTTATCCACCAGAGTTACAGACATCGACTCTTTCTGGCGAAATCTCAGTTATCATTTGTTCAGTCAACGCAATATAATTACATTTAAAAGCTGTGAAAGTTATATATGACTTGTACATGGTTCCTTTTCATTCTGTGAGACTATATATACCGTCCATTTGAATGGCCTCATTTAATTCGATGGCCATATTGTTTTTTCAAATTGTTTTGTAGTTATAATTTTCCATTTTGCGATAAACATGATTAGTAAAGAGCAACTGAAGCAAAATCCAAAGAAAATTTAATAAGCATTCATATGGTTGAGTCATTTGGATTTTGCGTGCCTACCTACTAGATTAAAAGAAAACAAATTGGATGAGATCAGTTTCCTGTCTATTTTCCTGTAATATTTCCTATCCATCCCTTCTATGATGAAACCATATGACGTGCTCTAGTTAAAAATAGAATAGTATGTCTACTTATAATTTATCCTATTTTATTTCATTCCATTGTACCAAATAAAACGAAACGTACAAAGCAAACATCTGTCTTTCTTGTTTTACACGAAAAACTATGGATTCGGACCCGAAATTGTTACTTATTTTCTGAAAAGAGGACCTTGTTTTTTCAGTTTAAAAATAACAAAAGTTTCTTCTACACTATATGAACAACTTCTTGAAAAAAGGATATTTCAAGATAATCATTTACAAAACAATTAAAATGGGATTTGAAACTGCTCCACTTTATTTTTAACTTCGTCATCGTTTTTGTGCGAGGTATATCCAGTTAAACGAATGTAAAGAGTATGATCAGCTTTTCGTTGAGACCACTCCATTCATTAGACATGCAGGCCGATACTTTTGAAAGACAACCTCCAGAGAAATATTTCAAGAATTCATTAAGTATGCCTTCTGTCTACATTCTATTTCTCGGAAACCAACTTCCTTTTTACATGTAATTCCCTTGTCTCTGTCAGTCTGTATATCTTTTCCCAGTCCCTGCTCCGCATTACTCTAGACTTGCATCGAATTATTAATCATGTTTAGCTCGCATAGACCTTTTTAAACTAAGCCATAGTTAACCTTTATCTTGATTAATATCTTATTGGTAGTTGAACTGATTGTCACCCATCATATATTTTTTCCATTGCAACATTATGTTTAAAATATATGTTTGGGTGCTACTGCTGTTCTAGCATGTGTCTAAGCATTTCCCGGCTTGGTGGTGGGGCGTGGTGGACAGTGTAGGAAAAACTGCTAGCAACAATGGTAAAATGGTAATTTTCATCTTCATCTCTTACTACAAAGTTGACCTAATAATAAAATGTACAGACATTGTAATAGAGTGGGTAGATATTTGCTTTTACATTAAAGTGAATAACTATGTTAGCATAAATAATTATTTTCATGTAAATAACTACTGTTCGGCCTTATACACACCTGAATGAATGGAAATTGAACCGCGTCAAATCCATTTTCCGTGTTAAAATGAAGGGCGTATGTTTTGCTAGGGACAAGTTTTTCTTTGGCAGAAAGGTTGTAGATATAACCTTGAGAATCTGTGATCCTGAAATAAGAATGGTATGTAACGTGTAACGACCCTGGACACGCTCGTCCGAGGAACTGCAGTGTAACAGCTAGACATAAAGATCAATGCTCCGCATGGGAATCGAACCCAGGATTTTCGCTCACAAAACTGACGCTCTACAGTTTTAGCTAAAAAATTAAAGACCTTTCACAAGTGACTGCATTTTCTATCAAAAGAGAGAAATGCCTTAATTATACATATGTACGAGGGTTGTCCCAGAAGTAATGCACTATGTTCTAACTTTATCTATAGTTGATATTTTCCATGAAATTTTCAGTAAATGTTTTTTAGAGACATTTTGATTATTTCAGCTGAATTGAAGAATATTACAGTTACAGAAAGTTACGATATTTTGATGACATTGTATTTGAAGCGTAGTTCTATGTTGAGGTTGTCTTACCCCGTTGCTATGAGAGTTCCATTAAACATAGTCGTGATATGATACAGGGACACATGTGCTCCATCTATTCCCTGTCCTGTGTGTCCACTGACCAGATTAGCAGAAACTCGTAAGAACATATCTGAAAACATGTCTAATATAGATAAGTTGGTTAATTAATGCACATAACACAGTTTTTCTAAACCTCTCAATATGAATTTACCAAATGTGAACCAAATGGAACATATTTATTTTAAAATGATATTCTTAAAATCCGGCAAAATGTGGATGTTCGCACCTGTGTCGTTGGTACTCCCAATGACTGGCTGCATGCACTGCAAGGAACACCCATTAGAGCAACATAACAGCTCACTTGGACACTCACTATTGACACTACATTCATTCGTACATGTATCGGGAGTCTCAGATACACGAGGGCACTCCCCTTTCTTGTCATCAACTGTAAAAAATATGGGAATGCAACTTTGTAATTTTGTAATATAATTTTACTATAATTATCAGTTGGTGCTTCTAGCACTAATATATCTGTACTGCTCTAGCTTATAAAAAATCTCAGCATATTGTCTTCTAAAGATTAGTTTTATTTTTGTTTCTCTGTATATCATTAGATGTGCCTTGGCTGTGTTGGTATACCTTCTTGTTCTGGTCGCATACACTCATTACTGCATCCATTATAACAGCAAATATGTTCGGCTGGGCAATCACCTTGGGATTCACACTGTCGTTCACAAGTGGATGGTGGGCCATCAATAGCTGGGCATTTATCTTCTTTGGAGTCAGGCTCTTCACCTTTCAAAATTAAACACCTCAATATATAGTTACAGACCTAGGCCTACCATATTGCAACAAAAACTAGCTGCAAGGATCGATTTTCAATTTTAATTCACATGATGACAGACATTCGTAACCATTTACTACTTCATTAACTCACCTTCAATTCTGAAACACTCATATCCACAACCATTATAGCAGCATCTATGACTAGAATCGCAGTCATCATGGGATGAGCATAGGCTTTCGCAGGTCGATGGTGGCCCATCTATAACTGGGCATTTATCCCCTATAGAGCCAGGAGATTTTGTTGTAGCCTCGGGAACAGTGGGGCTCCATTTACCACCTAGATTGGTCCAAAAGGAAGAAATCATAAATGTAATCAAAACATATTGACAAACCGTATACTGGACAATTAATCTTGAATTGCACTAGTAAACTATTGGCAAGGAACATACTAAACGCAGGACATGTAGTGATGCAAACTTTTTCAGCAGTCACATTTGGAGTCTGCAAATGTTTTGAGATTTTATAGTTGTCTCCGATGTATCCACCACCAACAGGAAATAGTATATATATGCAGTCGGGGCCTAACCCGACGTCCTCAGGGTCCGTTGTGTTCAGTTCTCGCTTGAATTGCATCGTCGTCGTTCCATCTTCGTTGGTAAAGACAGCAGTGTCGATGAGATTGTTGGTTCGGTCTAGCTTGGGTCGGGAATACCCCTGAGCCCATCTGTAAAATATATATTCACGCGCATTATGCTAAAGAATAATAGGTGACATTTGAAGAGACAAAACACGCATGGAAGCTATGGACGTTCTTCATCACAGAATATTTTCATATTGTTTGTGACATTGTTTTACATGATAGACAATTGCTTTGGTTGGGTGATACTTTGTGATTTCTTTCGTGTATTTTTTTCATTTTTACATTTACATTTATCAATGTAAATCGATATCATGCCATTACTGTTTGTCGTTAATACCTGTCTTGAACAACACCCCTGTCGCCATCTAACCAACCAGTAATTACATCACTGTTAGGCTACAAAAAAACAAAAATGCAGTGAGAAACAGAACACCACAGGAAAGCAACAGTGATACCAGGGGTACAGAGGATGAGAGTGTCTTTGTTCAAGGTCAACTAATAATATTTATTGGCATCTCTTCTAATTAGATATAATAAACCTACTTCGACCTTGCATTTCAATGAAAAATATAGTAGTATAATATGTTGTCTATCATATACTCATATATCATATAATTTTATCATTAAATATTTACTCATTTATACTACCATGCGTTTGCTCATGGAGAACCCAATACCAATCCACGTGTTCTGAGACTGAGATGCTGTGATGCGAACGCTGACTTCAGTATATACAGGATTACAATAAAATTCAGCCCTATAGCGACATCTAGACCTATCGCTGCCTTCGCACCCTAGTTGGAATTCACATCGACCTGAAAATGTGATTGATGCAATTTGTCATTTACTGCTACATCTGAAACTTCAATTATTAACCAATTGCATCGTTACATAATGTAGACATTGTGTACCTTCATTAGTGTACACATTTCTTTATTTCGTACTTTTACTTTACCCCCACACTTTCAAAAGAAATATTATGTACAGCTACCTGGTGGTAATTCACAAATTTTGCCCTCGAAGTTATTGGTGCAATCACATGAAAAGCCAGAGTTGTCGTCCGAGGCAGGAATACACAAGCCTCCATTTAGACAAGGATTCTTCGCACATGGTTTGTACGAGGTACCTAGATGGCATAAGCAAGTGTATGAATGCAAACACACAAATATGCGGTTATGAGGTGTAATGTTGGTAAAGAAACGCATTGTAATTAATTTTTGCTTGCTTTAAAATGATTATAATGTCAAAATAATTTAAACAAAATATTCACTATATCACTCCCCGATTTATTTGTGTATATTCAGAGTGACTGCTTATTAGATAAAATGTTGATCAGTTTTATTCTTTGAAAAATTAAAAATGCCTGCTTTTGTAATAGATACAATACTTTGTTCACAGTATCTGCCCCAGAAACCATGGGCACAGTCACATTCTGTGAGACCATTGCTAAGGGCTGTACACGTTCCACCGTTCAGGCAATCGTCGTATCGACATATTGGAGGAACTGAAAGTGATTTGTGGTTCAGCTTTATACTTGCATGTCTTATGAAAACGAAAGGCCAAGAATTAGGAAAATACATATTTTGATTAAAGATAACTTGTTATAATTTAATTCTAATAATTAATGTAGACCAATGCAAAACACTAGGAAATAAGGCATAACGTTCTAGAGAATTAATAGTACATACTTATATAATTAGTTTCCATTCGACATTTTTGCATGGACACACTAGATGCCGAATGCTATATCTGGGAAATGTTTACCTGGTAGTTCAACTCGTTCAAAATATTCCATTCCATTATTGGAACCAGTGGATGTTGTACATGGTTCCTTTTCATTCTGTGAGACTATATATACCGTCCATTTGAATGGCCTCATTTAATTCGATGGCCATATTGTTTTTTCAAATTGTTTTGTAGTTATAATTTTCCATTTTGCGATAAACATGATTAGTAAAGAGCAACTGAAGCAAAATCCAAAGAAAATTTAATAAGCATTCATATGGTTGAGTCATTTGGATTTTGCGTGCCTACCTACTAGATTAAAAGAAAACAAATTGGATGAGATCAGTTTCCTGTCTATTTTCCTGTAATATTTCCTATCCATCCCTTCTATGATGAAACCATATGACGTGCTCTAGTTAAAAATAGAATAGTATGTCTACTTATAATTTATCCTATTTTATTTCATTCCATTGTACCAAATAAAACGAAACGTACAAAGCAAACATCTGTCTTTCTTGTTTTACACGAAAAACTATGGATTCGGACCCGAAATTGTTACTTATTTTCTGAAAAGAGGACCTTGTTTTTTCAGTTTAAAAATAACAAAAGTTTCTTCTACACTATATGAACAACTTCTTGAAAAAAGGATATTTCAAGATAATCATTTACAAAACAATTAAAATGGGATTTGAAACTGCTCCACTTTATTTTTAACTTCGTCATCGTTTTTGTGCGAGGTATATCCAGTTAAACGAATGTAAAGAGTATGATCAGCTTTTCGTTGAGACCACTCCATTCATTAGACATGCAGGCCGATACTTTTGAAAGACAACCTCCAGAGAAATATTTCAAGAATTCATTAAGTATGCCTTCTGTCTACATTCTATTTCTCGGAAACCAACTTCCTTTTTACATGTAATTCCCTTGTCTCTGTCAGTCTGTATATCTTTTCCCAGTCCCTGCTCCGCATTACTCTAGACTTGCATCGAATTATTAATCATGTTTAGCTCGCATAGACCTTTTTAAACTAAGCCATAGTTAACCTTTATCTTGATTAATATCTTATTGGTAGTTGAACTGATTGTCACCCATCATATATTTTTTCCATTGCAACATTATGTTTAAAATATATGTTTGGGTGCTACTGCTGTTCTAGCATGTGTCTAAGCATTTCCCGGCTTGGTGGTGGGGCGTGGTGGACAGTGTAGGAAAAACTGCTAGCAACAATGGTAAAATGGTAATTTTCATCTTCATCTCTTACTACAAAGTTGACCTAATAATAAAATGTACAGACATTGTAATAGAGTGGGTAGATATTTGCTTTTACATTAAAGTGAATAACTATGTTAGCATAAATAATTATTTTCATGTAAATAACTACTGTTCGGCCTTATACACACCTGAATGAATGGAAATTGAACCGCGTCAAATCCATTTTCCGTGTTAAAATGAAGGGCGTATGTTTTGCTAGGGACAAGTTTTTCTTTGGCAGAAAGGTTGTAGATATAACCTTGAGAATCTGTGATCCTGAAATAAGAATGGTATGTAACGTGTAACGACCCTGGACACGCTCGTCCGAGGAACTGCAGTGTAACAGCTAGACATAAAGATCAATGCTCCGCATGGGAATCGAACCCAGGATTTTCGCTCACAAAACTGACGCTCTACAGTTTTAGCTAAAAAATTAAAGACCTTTCACAAGTGACTGCATTTTCTATCAAAAGAGAGAAATGCCTTAATTATACATATGTACGAGGGTTGTCCCAGAAGTAATGCACTATGTTCTAACTTTATCTATAGTTGATATTTTCCATGAAATTTTCAGTAAATGTTTTTTAGAGACATTTTGATTATTTCAGCTGAATTGAAGAATATTACAGTTACAGAAAGTTACGATATTTTGATGACATTGTATTTGAAGCGTAGTTCTATGTTGAGGTTGTCTTACCCCGTTGCTATGAGAGTTCCATTAAACATAGTCGTGATATGATACAGGGACACATGTGCTCCATCTATTCCCTGTCCTGTGTGTCCACTGACCAGATTAGCAGAAACTCGTAAGAACATATCTGAAAACATGTCTAATATAGATAAGTTGGTTAATTAATGCACATAACACAGTTTTTCTAAACCTCTCAATATGAATTTACCAAATGTGAACCAAATGGAACATATTTATTTTAAAATGATATTCTTAAAATCCGGCAAAATGTGGATGTTCGCACCTGTGTCGTTGGTACTCCCAATGACTGGCTGCATGCACTGCAAGGAACACCCATTAGAGCAACATAACAGCTCACTTGGACACTCACTATTGACACTACATTCATTCGTACATGTATCGGGAGTCTCAGATACACGAGGGCACTCCCCTTTCTTGTCATCAACTGTAAAAAATATGGGAATGCAACTTTGTAATTTTGTAATATAATTTTACTATAATTATCAGTTGGTGCTTCTAGCACTAATATATCTGTACTGCTCTAGCTTATAAAAAATCTCAGCATATTGTCTTCTAAAGATTAGTTTTATTTTTGTTTCTCTGTATATCATTAGATGTGCCTTGGCTGTGTTGGTATACCTTCTTGTTCTGGTCGCATACACTCATTACTGCATCCATTATAACAGCAAATATGTTCGGCTGGGCAATCACCTTGGGATTCACACTGTCGTTCACAAGTGGATGGTGGGCCATCAATAGCTGGGCATTTATCTTCTTTGGAGTCAGGCTCTTCACCTTTCAAAATTAAACACCTCAATATATAGTTACAGACCTAGGCCTACCATATTGCAACAAAAACTAGCTGCAAGGATCGATTTTCAATTTTAATTCACATGATGACAGACATTCGTAACCATTTACTACTTCATTAACTCACCTTCAATTCTGAAACACTCATATCCACAACCATTATAGCAGCATCTATGACTAGAATCGCAGTCATCATGGGATGAGCATAGGCTTTCGCAGGTCGATGGTGGCCCATCTATAACTGGGCATTTATCCCCTATAGAGCCAGGAGATTTTGTTGTAGCCTCGGGAACAGTGGGGCTCCATTTACCACCTAGATTGGTCCAAAAGGAAGAAATCATAAATGTAATCAAAACATATTGACAAACCGTATACTGGACAATTAATCTTGAATTGCACTAGTAAACTATTGGCAAGGAACATACTAAACGCAGGACATGTAGTGATGCAAACTTTTTCAGCAGTCACATTTGGAGTCTGCAAATGTTTTGAGATTTTATAGTTGTCTCCGATGTATCCACCACCAACAGGAAATAGTATATATATGCAGTCGGGGCCTAACCCGACGTCCTCAGGGTCCGTTGTGTTCAGTTCTCGCTTGAATTGCATCGTCGTCGTTCCATCTTCGTTGGTAAAGACAGCAGTGTCGATGAGATTGTTGGTTCGGTCTAGCTTGGGTCGGGAATACCCCTGAGCCCATCTGTAAAATATATATTCACGCGCATTATGCTAAAGAATAATAGGTGACATTTGAAGAGACAAAACACGCATGGAAGCTATGGACGTTCTTCATCACAGAATATTTTCATATTGTTTGTGACATTGTTTTACATGATAGACAATTGCTTTGGTTGGGTGATACTTTGTGATTTCTTTCGTGTATTTTTTTCATTTTTACATTTACATTTATCAATGTAAATCGATATCATGCCATTACTGTTTGTCGTTAATACCTGTCTTGAACAACACCCCTGTCGCCATCTAACCAACCAGTAATTACATCACTGTTAGGCTACAAAAAAACAAAAATGCAGTGAGAAACAGAACACCACAGGAAAGCAACAGTGATACCAGGGGTACAGAGGATGAGAGTGTCTTTGTTCAAGGTCAACTAATAATATTTATTGGCATCTCTTCTAATTAGATATAATAAACCTACTTCGACCTTGCATTTCAATGAAAAATATAGTAGTATAATATGTTGTCTATCATATACTCATATATCATATAATTTTATCATTAAATATTTACTCATTTATACTACCATGCGTTTGCTCATGGAGAACCCAATACCAATCCACGTGTTCTGAGACTGAGATGCTGTGATGCGAACGCTGACTTCAGTATATACAGGATTACAATAAAATTCAGCCCTATAGCGACATCTAGACCTATCGCTGCCTTCGCACCCTAGTTGGAATTCACATCGACCTGAAAATGTGATTGATGCAATTTGTCATTTACTGCTACATCTGAAACTTCAATTATTAACCAATTGCATCGTTACATAATGTAGACATTGTGTACCTTCATTAGTGTACACATTTCTTTATTTCGTACTTTTACTTTACCCCCACACTTTCAAAAGAAATATTATGTACAGCTACCTGGTGGTAATTCACAAATTTTGCCCTCGAAGTTATTGGTGCAATCACATGAAAAGCCAGAGTTGTCGTCCGAGGCAGGAATACACAAGCCTCCATTTAGACAAGGATTCTTCGCACATGGTTTGTACGAGGTACCTAGATGGCATAAGCAAGTGTATGAATGCAAACACACAAATATGCGGTTATGAGGTGTAATGTTGGTAAAGAAACGCATTGTAATTAATTTTTGCTTGCTTTAAAATGATTATAATGTCAAAATAATTTAAACAAAATATTCACTATATCACTCCCCGATTTATTTGTGTATATTCAGAGTGACTGCTTATTAGATAAAATGTTGATCAGTTTTATTCTTTGAAAAATTAAAAATGCCTGCTTTTGTAATAGATACAATACTTTGTTCACAGTATCTGCCCCAGAAACCATGGGCACAGTCACATTCTGTGAGACCATTGCTAAGGGCTGTACACGTTCCACCGTTCAGGCAATCGTCGTATCGACATATTGGAGGAACTGAAAGTGATTTGTGGTTCAGCTTTATACTTGCATGTCTTATGAAAACGAAAGGCCAAGAATTAGGAAAATACATATTTTGATTAAAGATAACTTGTTATAATTTAATTCTAATAATTAATGTAGACCAATGCAAAACACTAGGAAATAAGGCATAACGTTCTAGAGAATTAATAGTACATACTTATATAATTAGTTTCCATTCGACATTTTTGCATGGACACACTAGATGCCGAATGCTATATCTGGGAAATGTTTACCTGGTAGTTCAACTCGTTCAAAATATTCCATTCCATTATTGGAACCAGTGGATGTAATTCCTCGGTTGCTCTTACTGAGGATACATTCTTGCAAACTTACGACATAGTCGACAGATTTACACAAAAATTCGACCCAGTTCGTACATCTATAGAGACATTCCTCTATGGTCAGGCCAAATGTCTTATCATCATTGAGGGATGGAAGATATTCCCCTTGCTTGTGAACCCAAAGAACACCATGCATCTTTATAGGTGTCTCGTCTGAAAGTGACATTGAAACATGCATCTTAATTTGCAGAAATGTATTCATTTAAAATTAAGATCGTCTTGATTTATATAAAGTATTTACCGTTGATTATCATAATCACTATAATAGGCATTATGTAAAATATTCAGTGCACCCCCCCCCCCCCCCCCCCCATCCATATGTTTGGCATCTCTTATTAAGGCCTGATTATGTTTGCCATTAAAAATAAATGCCATAAACTTCTATTGTAAATAAAGTTAAACAAAATTGAGATTCAAAAACTGATAACCTTTTCATGTTGGTCCAGTAACGTTTGTCGGTTAAATTGTAGATGTAGAATCAATTCAAAAACGAAAATGTTATAATTATTCATACTCATGTGATTTCTGTAATAAAGGAAAAGGGTAAATTCTTAATAGTTTTAATGATCACACAAGGGGTACAAGGATTCCAAACTATGTTTTGACGTTACCTGGTAATTCAACTCGTTCAAAATAATCCATTCCACTATTGGAACCAGTCGATGCAATTCCTCTGTTACTCTTACTGAGGATACATTCTTGCATACTTTCAACATAATCAATGGATTTACAAAGAAACTCGACCCAGTTCATACATCTATAGAGACATTCCTCTTTGGTCAGGCCAAATGTCTTATTATCATTGCGAGACGGGAGATATTCTCCTTGCTTGTGAACCCAATAAACACCATGCATCATTATAGGTTCATCGCCTGTAAAATACGATGCATTCAAATAATAACCATTCTTGTCAAAATGTCATAATGTTCCTTTGTCAGAATCTGTTAATTTAATAAAAATATACATGTATACTGTTCGAATTTTGTTTTTAGCGATCAAATACACCTGTTCCGGAGATTTACCTTTTTGCCAAATTACAAATACCTACAAGTAAAATCTACCAAAGACATATCAAAGCAATGCTTACCTAATCTAGGGGTAGGGTAGACATCTGGTAGTGATGTCGATGTCTGTGACTCCTTAGTTGTCTGAGCATTACCAGCTATGATATACAAGACATAAAAGAAAATACATAAGGGTTATGTACTGGGAGGTTTTGGATACAGGGTTTATCCCAAGGGAAATATGTGTATCTCCCGAGGGACCGCAGGGACCGAGGAAGATACACATATTTCCCGCGGGATAAACCCTGTATCCAAACCGACCGTACATAACAGATGTATTTCATACCTACTGAGGTTCTAGGTACATCATACCTTATAAAGATCCAAAATTCCAAAACATACTAAGGTACTAGACGTTATCTTGGTCTAAAAGTTTGCGAGATTTTCAAAAAAATGCGAAAAAAAATTGAAAAAAAATTTCAGGAGCGGGACCGGGATGGATACAGCGTGTATCCATCCCGGTCCCTAGATACAGTATATATTCTCGCTCATTATGTACCTAGAACCTCAGTAGGTATGAAATACATGTGCTTATCTGGATGTTTCATAGATATACTCAGGTTGTATCGTATAGCAAGTACTCTACTTCTTAGAGGCTCAGAATTGAAATGTTGAAAGGTTGTACAGAAGTAGAAATAAAGCGAAAGTAACTACTTGTCGACGCTATTCGGTAACCTGCAGTTGGACTTATTAGCTCAATCCAATACTAGAACACAAGCATTTATATCCTACTTGAAATTGAGTTTTGAGAAATATTTTGTTGAATCACATGACCTTTTTGAGAAAAATTGTGTTTGTTACCTGTTCTCGTTTCTGTTGTTGGTACAGGCGCATCTGTCGTTGGTTTTAGTGTAGAACTGACTGTAAATATTCATGTTGACATTGCAATACACAGTATAAATTCATTTATATCGCATTATAAACACTTAGAAAATCGTATTTCGGACAATTAGATATACGAAGAGGGCAATGAAACCCGTGAGTAACCTTCATCTACTTCCAAATTGCATTTGATATACTTAGGTGGTTCAAAAAAGGTTTTGCAGTTGATGCCATAACTTCAAGGAAAATAGGACTTTTACTATGAAACTTGGTACACATATGTGTTATACATTTATACATTATATATTAAAATTTGGCACCTCAATTTTGATTGGTTCTTGAGATATGGTTGCTATGGTAACCAGAGTGGTGGGTACCATGTTCAACCCGAAATTACGTTTTCCAAATAGTTTTCTTGCTTGAATACACTCTTTGTTTAATATATTTAACATGTACCTGGTAGTTCAACTCGTTCAAAATATTCCATTCCATCATTGGAACCAGTCGATTTGGTTTCTCTGTTGCTTTTACTGAGGATACATTCTTGCATACTTGCAACATAATCGATAGATTTACACAGAAACTCTACCCAGTTCATACATCTAAAGAGACATTCCTCTATGGTCAGGCCAAATGTCTTATCATCATTGAGGGATGGAAGATATTCCCCTTGCTTGTGAACCCAATAAACGCCATGCATCATTGTAGGTTCATCGCCTGTAAAATGCGATGCATTCTCATAATAACCATATCTTGTCGAAATGTCATGATTTCCCTTTGTCAGAAACTGTCAATTTATGAGAAAAAATATAAGTCAATACTGAAATGACAACAAAGGAATTTATTTCTGAAATTTAATGTTTACGATCGAATAAACCTGTTCTGGGGTATGGCATTATTTTTGCTTCTTTATTCATTAAATTCAAATATATTCTGAATAGGAAATATTAATATTCGCTAAAACATTTTTCCATTTGGTATAAACGTTTATATGTTTGTTATAGCAAATTAAGTTTTCAAAATAGCCAATCACTTACTACCATGTGCATTAAATTACATATTTCATTCGCTCAATGATATGTTTTTGCGTAAATTGTTATGGTATTCCTAAGAGTAACACATTATAGGCACAATATTGAATTTCTATTTGAACCCTACCGAAATAAGTTTGCCTATATTTACCAAATGGTTTATTTTTCTATGACATAGTTGATGCATTTTACCGAAAGCTAATTTGCTATTTACCGAATGCAATAAAGTAATATTCGATAACTTTCGTTGTTGTTCGATATTTTGTCACGTGACCTCGAGATTTGCAAGCCGCACAGCTATTCTACATCGTTCAAATATATCACGTGACTGAAAGTCTCGTAAAGTATCGAATAATAACGAAATTTATTGAATGTGGCATTCGGTATTTACCGAATATAAATAATGTAAATACTGAATGTACAAATAATTAATTAAATCATACGTGCGTTGAGGAAAACAAATAGATTCGCTGCATCACACAAATGCATGTACACTGTGTATAAATATCAAATGTAAATGCCAACACAAAGAACAAGTGAAACGATTTAGCGAATATAAATTGTATAGATTATTACATTCGATAAAATAAAAAACATACATAGAATGGGTAAAGGTTTGGTAAATTGTTTGTTTTATTTGGTATTTATGGAATATTAATGTACCGAATAAAGAAGCAGTTTAAACACCATACTGGGGATAACGCTTTTGCAAAATTCCTTTAAGTACAATTTACCAAAGACATATCAAAGCAATGCTTACCTAATCTAGGGGTAGGGTAGACATCTGGTAGTGGTGTCGATGTCTGTGATTCCTTAGTTGTCTGAGCATTACCAGCTATGATATACAAGACATAAAAGAAAATGCATGTGCTTAATATCTGGATGTTTCATAGATATACCCAGGTTGTATCGTATAGCAAGTACTCTTCTTCTTAGAGTCTCAGAATTGAAATGTTGAAAGGTTGTACAGAAGTAGATATAAAATCGGGGGTAACTACTTGTCGACGCTATTTGGCAACCTGTATTTCGACTTATTAGCTCAATACGAGAACACAAGCATTTATATCCCATTTGAAATTGAATTTTGAGAAATATTTTGTTGCATCGCTAACCTTTTTGACTTGTGTTTGGGCCTGTTCTCGTTTCTGTTGTTGGTACAGGCGCATCTGTCGTTGGTTTTAGTGTAGAACTGACTGTAAATATTCATGTTGGCATTGCAATACACAACAAACATTCATTAATATCACATTATAAACATTTAGAAAGTCTGATTTCGGACAATCAGATATAATGTGAGGGCAATGAAACCCGTTTTACTAACAAAATAGTTTTTCCCCAGAAGGAGTAATCTAAATCTAACTTGTATTTGATATACAGGGTGTTTCAAAAAAGATGCAACCCACATACTTTACAATTCATATCTTTTTAACCAATGAAGGTTGAACAATCTCTTTGGCCAGAAGTAAAGGTAGTTCAATGTCCTTTGAGTTGAGCAAGTTTCATCGATGTAGCTTATGTATGTCCCATTTGCTGCCCATATAAAGAATGTGCTACAAATGCCTACCACCTCTCTTCTGACAGACTGGTAAATGTCCTTATCTTTCGTATGATCTATAGTTTGAGCTCTGCAATGATTCTAGGATTATTGACAACATACACACTTTCTTTCAGGATAAGAAACATTATTATGTTCCGATAAAAACACGTGTGTTGTCAACAATATCACACATAGTGTGCAAGTCTGTCTTCAGAAAAGTGGTTGAAATTTGGGCAGGTTCTTTAAATGGCCAGCAAATAGAACACATACACATGCTACAGTGATGAAACTTTGTCAACTTAAAGGACATTGAACGAACGTTAATTCTTCCCAACAAGATTTGTCATCCCCTATTTGTTACAAAGATATGCATTGTTAGGTGGGTTGCATTTTTTATGAAACTCCCTGTATATTTTTAAATTATAGTACTATTTTACATGTACCTGGTAATTCAACTCGTTCAAAATATTCCATTCCATTATTGGAACCAGTGGATGTAATTCCTCGGTTGCTCTTACTGAGGATACATTCTTGCAAACTTACGACATAGTCGACAGATTTACACAAAAATTCGGCCCAGTTCATGCATCTATAGAGACATTCCTCTATTGTCAGGCCAAATGTCTTATCATCATTGAGGGATGGAAGATATTCCCCTTGCTTGTGAACCCAGTAAACGCCTTGCCTCATTGTAGGTGTCTCGCCTGGAAATCACATGCATAGTGTATCTATTTCTTTAAATTCTGTAGGTGTCATGCTAGATACAACAAATCGGATCTTGAGTACAAATGATAACTAAGAAAATGGAAATAAAGATGCAGGTGCTAGAAGGCACATCAGAGCATTACATAAAACAGCAAAAAACAGAATGTGTCGAAGAACAAACTTCAATACTCTCGACATCGAATATAGAATATACTCTGAACGTGGGACATAGAAATCTAGAGTGTCAAAGTTTGTTCAATGTGTTAAATTGTATTGTATTGTGTATTGTATTTCATCCTATGGTATATTATATTTCTTAAATCTTAATATGTCCTCCGTCACTTACCTAGTCCAGGAGTGGGATAAACCCCTGGAAGCGATGTCGATGCCTGGTTCCCTTTGGTCGTCTGACCAATGACAGCTAAAACACACTTCTTTAATTGTGATTACACGAAACAGTTTAGGAAATCAATCATAGATAGGGTTATAATTAGAGGAAAATACTACATATATAATAAGAAAATGCTACAACTAGAGCTTCCAAATTATAACAACTTTAAGGCATAATTAGATAATTATATGTTCAGAAATGAAAACTGATTTTAACACTATTATGGTGTGAGCGTTGAATGTAAGTGATTGGGTAATAGAGTGACATTCCAACAAAAAATACATTGAGCAATAGAAATATATTAGAATCATTGGAGTATTTTTCCTTACTGTTTTCACTAAAAATAACAGTACCTGTAGTTGGTTCAGACACATCTTTGGGTTTTTCTGTAGAAACCGAATGGTTAACTGTAAATAACAATGTTCATTTGAAATACAGATATTATATATTAGTACACTCACATATTATTGAGATGCATGTCAAAATATATCTTATAACTTGTTAGAAATTTCTAGATTTTTTCGGGAAACCAGACAACAGCCTGCGTGGTTTACACATGATTTTTCCTAAAGACTGGAGTTACAAACTATATATTTACCTGCTAATTCAACTCGTTCATAATATTCCATATTCTCACTTGAGACGGTTGATGCATTCTGCCTGTTGCTGTTACTGAGAATACATTCCTGGTTACTTGTTACGTAATCAACAGATTTACACAAAAACTGGGTCATATTGATGCATCTATTAAGGCATTCCTCTTTGGTCAGTCCAGGTGTTATATCAGTATTGCGAGAGGGTAGATATTCCTGTTGCTTGTGAACCCAATACACACCATGCATCAGTATAGGTGCCTCGCCTGGAAATGACATATATTGTCTAACTTTGGGCTGAATTTTTTTTAGGCCCAAACGATTTTCTTGGGGATTTTAGAAGACTTGAAATTTGGCTTGTTACTTTTTAGATCCGCTTCTGCTTTCTTATACATGATATAAAGGAACTATTGCAGGATAATTTGTTTCTTACGTCTTAGAATAGTCAAATGGTTAACATGATAAACATATATTACACAATAACCCATTTTGATACTCATCACATATTTTGTTTCACTATTAATATCATCTCAGAGTTGAGAAGAAATGAGATGTCATGATTTATCATGATGCCAATAACCAAACTACTCTTAAATGGTTCACCGATTATAATTCTTAATATAATTGTTCTGGGTATAAATAATTCAAAAGTAAGATTCAATTATATTCTAAAATGATAAATGAAAGATGTATGAGATTGAGTTTCATCTTCCTAGAATTTTGCTCTTCATCGCTTACCTAATCCTGGTGCAGGATATACCTTCGATCGTTCTGAAGATATATTGGCCCCCTTAGTTGTCTGCTCAATATCCGCTATATATCATAATAAAAATCATAAATTATTTTAGATTTTCCTGTAGTTGTATAGAGTATTTAATAATCTATCAATGATTGATTACATTATTTTTCATTATTGATTATCCCGTCATTGCATGGTCGGCAAACTGGATGTGATACATGGGGGTTCATCAGATAACTAAGCTTGTATTCATGAATGCAAATAACGACTACCAGCTACCGGATTAACCGGCAAGAATTTTTGGGCAACTATTTTAAATATGAATGGTACCTGCCACTATTCCATTCATATTTAAATCCCGAACGCTGACCTAAATAACGGGTTATAATCTGCCAAATTTAAGCAGCTAGTAACAATGACTTACTTACAGAGGCACAAAAAATCATTTGGTCACTGAAGCTTAGTACCGGTTTGTAAAATGAGACCCTGCAACCATCACACAATATCTTGAAAGAACACTCTTGGTTTACCTACGACTGTTGTCTTAACATTCCTTGATCTTGTAGACGTAGCGGATGTTGGCGTTGTGGTCGTGGATGGTGGCGTTGTGGTCGTGGATTTTGGCGTTATGGTAGTGGATGGTGGCCTTGTGGTAGTGGATGGTGGCGTTGTGGCAGTAGATGATGGGGGTGAAGTAGCATCGGACGTAGTCACGGAGCCTGGAATAATGACGTTAGTGTCTAATCTAAAATTCCATATTTCTATGTTGATACCTTCACCACCCTGTTGAGTCTGATTCGAAGCGTCCTTCTTCAGGATAATGGATACGAATTGAAAATTACACTGAATAATATGAAGAGCCTGTCAGAAATTATAATACACGTAGCTAGTCATGCGTTACTACATTCTGGCCAATCAGAACACAATATAGCCATGCTATATAAGACAACAAAGTAAAGTTAATAAGGGGAATGGTATTGGGGAAAAAACTTGAACTTGGGTAAAAAATATTATCTTTAATTATTAGATAAATGGATGATTTAACTAGGTTTTCGGAATTGCTGATGAAATGTCCTCGTTTTTGTGTAGCCCTATCGGCTTTTTAATCATCCGCAAACCATTCGTCCTGGGCCCAAACTCCTTTTGTCAAAGTAATACAAAAAGTACAAACCAAATCCTGCAAATAATAGTTTTATGGTGTTTTGAAATACAGTATAAAACATATCTAGGTGTTCCACTTATATGGGGTTCATTTAACATTAAGTCAGTTGGCCTTGGGACTCTGAAAAGTGTTCCACTTAACAGGTTTCATTGTACTCAAAATATCTCTCGGTGACTGTTCCAGGTCTTACCATCGACAACAGGTGGTTTTTCACAAAACGGCCCTCCATAACCAGGCAGACAAAAGCACTGGTGTACATTTACGTCGTCCTTATTTGGTTGTATACACTGACCACCATTTTGACATGGATTGGAGTTGCAAGCTCCATTTTCAGCCCCTGTAAGAAATTAGCAAATAGCCTTTGATGGAACGAAATGAAAAAATAATGTAAATGAGTAAGAGAAATGTGACGACAAATGGTTTATATATCATTCTGTGCCTCTTGATCCCAATCGTATTTTCATAAATTGCAATACAAAATTTTTAATTAGTGCAAATCTAAATGAATGGAATGGAATGGAATGGAAATGAATAAAAGAAATGTAATTAAATCATTACAATGTTGTTATTGTGGCAAGGCAAATAAAAAAGTTCTATATACTAGTATTATCTTGATCGTGTTTTGACTTATATAGAAATATATAATCGTATTTCATCATTATTAAAGGAATCGAAATAAACTAAAAATAGTGATTTGTATCTAATAGTGCACATAGGTATTGAGAGAACCTTTAGCTAGAAATGCCATTCACTAAAATGCTTTGTGGTGTTTAGATCAAAAACACTTATCGAACACATCCTATATCTGGCAATGCAGTCTACAGTACTTAAGTGTGGTGTGAAGTCCCTCTTCCTAAAATCTAATGAGCTACACTAAATAAGTTGTTTTAAAAGTTGTTAGCGTAGAAAAGGTATTCCCAATAAAAAAATTGTTTTAAAAGTTCTAAGCGTAGAAAAATTATTCCCAATAAGAAAATTCCTAAAAAGCAATCAAACTACTGCAAGTGAGAAAAATATAGTGTTAACAAAGTAATCTAATCACTACGTTCACTGATAGGATTTTACCAGCGTCCAATTCACATAGACGCCCACTGTATCTTTTGTCCGTGCAGAGACATATGTAACTAGAATCCCCAAGGTTCCATTCACAAAAGCCTCCATTTTGACACGGGGCTGACAAGCATGGATCTATATCGGAAACTGGAATTGAAATACATGTATGAACTACACTCCTTAAAATAGAAATTATTTTTAGTTTTTATGCAGGATGTCCAATAGAGTTGCACTCCCCTCCATAAGTTTGGCAACCTTTTTTCCCCCATTGAACTACGTGTTAAAGCCTCTTTAATTTGAATTTTTATTTACTTAACCTGCGATGAAAATACTTATACTATTGATGCAAACGATATTTGACTTTAATTCCAATACCTCCAAATTTTCTCAATTTTTTTCCCCAATTACAATAGGTCGAAAATTGATGATGAATTTGATGAATTTTTGAAAATCGACATTCCCATGTTAACCAATGGGAAATGGTAGGTTTGCCGCAAGTCATATGACAGAATATCCATCCATCCGAGTCCTTGCAAAAAATACGAGTTAGGCAGGAAATTGAATTTGCTAACTTTATTTAACAAAAAATTGATACGTTTCTTTAGGTTCAACAAAGTCAAAGGGCTTTAAAGTCAAACGAATAAAAAGTCGCACCGGCACGAAGAGAGTTAAAGTCAAAATTGTTTTTCAAAAAACCTCTCCAATTGAAATAACACAGGAGGCGAAAAATTATTTTGAAAAATGACTTTGAAACGCTGTAACTTTAATATCCATCAAATAAACTAAACACTTCAAAAGAGTTAGACAATTCAATTTTCTATATAAAAATGTTTTTTGCTGAATCTTTTACTGAAAAGATATCCTGATTTCTGATTTGCCCCGAACCCTTCATTTCCCATTGGATTACATGGGAATGACGATTTTCAAAAATTCAAAAATTTATCATCAATTTTCGACCTATTGTAATTGAGGAAAAAATTGAGAAAATTTGGAGGTATTGTAAATAAAGTCAAGTTACGTTTCCATCAATATTATAAGTTATTTCATCGCCGGTTAAGTAAATAAAAATTCTAACGTAAAGAGGCTTTAACACGTAGTTCAATGGGGGAAAAAGGTTGCCAAACTTATGGAGGGGAGTGTACATGTAACTACCCAAAATTGTTTAAATATATTTTTTATAACTGTTTTTGTTGTTTGTTTTTAGTGCAATTACTTTTTGTTCCTTTCTACCAATTCTTGAGAATGAAATACAATATCTTTACGAACCTTATTGAAACAAAATAGCACATACAACATTTTCTTAGACCTCTCAATATTATTGTTAAACAAAGGAAAATTTCGTTGATTTTACAAAAAGTATTCAAAAAATTAAACCCCCCCCCCCCCCCCTCCCCAAATAGATAAAATGAAAGTATGTATGATACTAAGAACAAAACAATTAGATTGACAATGTGTAAAGTTTTCAGAATTTTTTGATGACTAGTTTAAGAGAAACATGTGTTCAATTCAGTTCGACGTATCGATACCAGTCCTTTGGATGTTCATCGTTGATCGTTCTTAGAAAATTGCACTTGAAATCAAAATATTGGAACTCACCTACATCGTCAGCGACTGTAATGAGAATATCGTCAAGAGCAATGTCGGCATCCCAGCCTGATCCACGCACACTCTTGAAAACAACAATGAACTCGCCAATGGGTAGCTCCAACTGTTTCGATTTCCATTCTTTCCCCTGGTCACCTACAATGTAAAACATCCCTCATAGCCACGTTTAGTTCAATTGGGTTACAACAGACCTAAATGTTAAATGACTTGTTCTTGACGATATCACTGTGAATCAGCTGTGCATCAGCTTGAAACCTCGACAAATTAATGAGAAGAAAATAACAATTGTTTGAAGCTTGAAGGTATTGCTTTCCAAAATTTGCACGAGATGCGGAGCATCGAGTGTTAATTTTAGAGAACAACGCCTGGAAGGAAAGGTCTTTCTACGAAGCATTGAATCTTGGGCTTTTCACACATTGAAAATGTTTTCTACCTTGTCCCTTAAAAGATACGAAATCACCAAAAGACAATATTTTCAATGAAACTTTTTGCAATAGTCAAGTTGGCAAAGCGTCAATCTATCTGTAGAGTCAAGTTGTCACCTTGACAACCACATAAGAAATGACATTGGATGCGATGATTGTTATATTATGCACTGCAGCATATGAAATACTGTGTTCGGATTGGTTGGAATCGGACACACCTTACCTACCTAGATAAAACGAATTAGTATTTTTCCCTTGGCTTAAATGTGTTGGTCGATATATGCATCTCCACCAAGCTCATCACATATGGTTCAATGTACACCACTCGGTTTGTTGTCTAGCCTCATACTCACCAGCTAATCTGTAGATGAGATTCTCTCCATGGGTTGAATTTCGGATGGCCACTTCAAGATATCCAATGCTTTTTCCATACATGTTGTAGGAGAATGTCAATGATTTCTTAAAGACGTTGGTCTTGACATTTGGCGTCGTGAAGTCAGTTTCATCGTCAGGTTCTCTGGGTGGGGACGCTTCGGTGTAGACATAATGTCCTAAAGGTTACATTTACAAACGGCAATTACATTTAGAGACATAAAACAAGGGAGGGATCCCAGTCTTTAGATGTAAGGGAAGTGATCAGTGTATGGTTTGTATTTCATTTGTTGCCTTATGTGCTTCTTATATTTGCTACAGACATCATGATAAACCGACATCTCATTTCTTCTCAGCCTTAAAGTGCCCGATAAACTATAAAATGCGCATGCGTCCAGGTGTTGATAAACTATAAATAGCGAAAATCAAGGTTTGGCACCACAAGGTAAGCCAGGACGTGTTGAGAGAACAGCTAGTGTTGATATTGAATTTATATGTAGCCAGATAAGTTTCCTTGTTGAAATTACATATGGTTATTAGCAATACTTTGTAGGTGCTAAATAATAAAATATTTAGAGTATATATGAGAGAAATTGGTCATTTCGAACCTGTTGAAAAGTTTGTGGCTCTCGGCTACACCGGGGAATTTACTTCCATGAGTACACACATAAATGTGGGGTTCCCCAAGAGGTACGCGACAAGGTGACCTGGCATCAAATGTGCGACTAAATGCTACTATTGAGAAGATAAAATAACGAATACGACAATAAGTTATTGCATGTGACAATTCCGAGCCTTCATCTCACTGAAGTATTTTGAAGTGAAAATAGGATTTTTGTTTTGATACATGGATTCAGATGAACGTAACTTTATTCTGACAACTAATCAAAACTGAACAAAATTGATTGTACGTAACAGGCAATTTATTGTTTTACAATGTTTTGATTTGCTAAACGAATGAAACCAACAAATTATGACATGTAAAATGACAATTTTGAAATGTAAAATTTAAAAGTGACAAACACAACCTCCCTATCCACTCTTTGGGAGCCCTAGTAAATTAGTAATATGTACATGCAGCAGTGGTAGTGTACAGCTTATTATCACACTACACTTTGTATTCTTAAGCCTGTTGTTTGTAATAACACTGTTCACTCAACGTATGTTTTGTATGTATGTATTATTTATTTGCGTCTAAAATTAGACAGTTACATATTATACAATGAAATAAAGAAAGTAAATTAAAACATCATTTCAATTTAATTAAGTAGTGTGAACTGTCCTAAATGGTTTAGATCATTGATACCCTGACTCTATGCATGGAAAATATTACAAGTGATATGGAGCAGAGTGAGTCGATGCTCTCTAAGCTTGAGCTCAACCCTAAAACAAAGTCCATCTTTTCGACAAGTGACCTACGGTCTTCACTCTCCAACATTGTGAGTAGAGTCTGCCGTTCATAGGTAATTATATCACATTGTAGTATAAAATGTTCAATAGTGTCTCTTGAATTGCAGCACAATGGGCAAACCCCATTCTCAAAAGGATAAGACCCTGATTGGAGTTTAAACATAAGTTTGCACTGTTTTTTGAAAATAGGTCTCAGTTTACATATCAGCCACCATATATTTGTGTGGGCAGTCAACGATAATCATTGTTTTATCCCGGTTATATGACCTCGGCAATTATAACAAAACCGTACTAAACGAAAAAACGCAAATAAGAGAAAGCTTTCACACACATATAAAAAATGAACTAGTCTAATCCGCCAGTATAAACTCTGTGCTATACGTAGCCGGGTCAGGCGCACACTTTAAGATGGTGAAACAGAAAGATGCTAGATCAGAGTTTGCTACGGCGGATTGGTTATAGTTAAGGGCCCATGAATAGTTCTATACCACTCACCTTCCCCATTTAGACCGGGGGTGTTATCCCCTTGTGGGCCTGTGTTACCGGACGGGGTAGCACCTTGCTTTCGCATCCACATGTACTCAGGTGGACGGGGATCAAATTCAGATATACGAACAGCATCACAATATATGTTCGACTCGAAGTCACAGGACCACAATTCATCACCTGGTATTTCGCTAGTTACAACACCTGGGAACAGAAAGTACTATATTGTCAGAAGAGTTGCACAAACTGCTCCAATAAGGCAATCTGTAACGAACAACTGAGGTTTTTATTCAGAGACAAAATCGATCTAAACACCTCAATCATTGAAATAACACATGGTTAAAATTGCTTTAAAAAAGACTCAAGACATACAAATTTTCTGTTCCTGAGAAAAAACATATACGTTTAGATAATAAAAGTATGTTAATAAGAGATTGTTTGGTGGAAATAAGGCACACTTCCACCCATTTCCACCCGTAAATCACTGTCCTGGTACAAGAGGCAGTCTGATATTCATCACAACTCCTTTCTCACAACGAAAATATATGCGATCAATTTCGAAATGTGCTGCAACATACAGGTTCAACAGGAAAAGAACTTGTAGAACGCTTCAAGTCTTTTCGATGAGAGTGTGCGTAAACAGAAGTACAATATACGAAAAGATTACAACAGAAATATAAAGTATTAGTTCTTTGTATCAGTATGGACAATGCAAGTTACCCTTTTTGTACCAACGAAATGTTTTTCTGGCAATAAATTGATTGAAGGCACTTGTTTACAAACTGCAATTCTTTTCAAAATCAGATTTACAAGTATCAGATCACCGATGTGTCAATATTGACATCTAGGACTTATTGAATAAACTCACAATAATGAAATTCTCCAGTTATGAAAGTGAAACCCCAAAATAGAAAATTATATTTGTAAATTGGATACGGATGTATTCGAAATTAAATGCTGGAGTCCAATCTAATAAATCAAAAAGACATTGATCTTGTGATAGATATACAGCTAATTTAATATGTTATCAAAGACGTAATCGGTGATAAAGACAGACAAACTACTATTCCCAATCGTGTAATTGGAAAAAATGATTCCATAAATTGAAAGCGATGCTTTTTGTTCAGTTGACCAGCAGACGTTTGATATTACACTCAACTCATTTGCAATCTATAAAACACATTATTGATCGAACGATGAAATGACTCCACCCGTCGTTTTGATTTAATCTGTGATTTTTGGAGGATACATTCTATAAAGACCCATATCCGATATGTCCAAAAGCCTCAAGTGAACCGGACAATGCGTACATCGCAACGGTGGGACCGTGGGTGGCGCCGTCAGTTCAAATTTCGTATTCTTGGAAATGGGCCTTGAAATTGAAAAATGGGCCATATTTATTTTTTATCCAAATCACTTACACGTATTTGCATAATACACATGGCTAATCAAAGCGAGGGCCATTTCAAAAAAGCGCGCCTATATTTTTCCAAGAAAACGTTTCATTCCATTTTGTTGTTTGTGAGTTTCTTCTACTTTTCTTTTCACCAACACATTACAAATATATGAAATAATTTTACTTTACAACACAAGTTTAGCAGTTGAAGTTTTACACACACGTGTTTATTGTATTTATTTACAATTACATGCCCTTCAGATCTACCTACGAAGATGAGCTAGTTATGAATAATAGGCAGAAAACACATCTTATACGAGACTCATTAACAAATAGTTTGTTGTTATAACGGTTTAAAGGAATATAATCAGTGTCATAAATATTCAACTAAGATTCACTGCCGAGGGGCATGGAGGATTCTGACACGATACAATGTCAAAGTGTCTTATTTGATCCAAATATTTCATTTGTTAGTCATCAATATAAACAAATTATGAAACAAAATAAGGCGTTTTTCAAAAATGAAATGCATCGACAGGCCATGTACACATATGTGCATGAACACACTTAAAGGAGGAGTCGTTTATAGAACCCTGAATTCTTTTTGGAGTCCTTTCAAGGAGCATTTACGAACCCCGATCGGACACGGGATGTTGAATGGGGAAGTAATGAATTCTATTAGTATTTCAGCACAAATGATCGTGATGTCACAATTCCTTTTAAACCAATATATCTAGTCACTTACCTGCTTGAAGTAGAACAGCCGTAAGAATCCAAAACATCGTTGAAGTCCTCTTGAACAGTGATATTTTCATTCTTCAAAAGCGACCCAGGCCGGCTAGATCATTTACACCATCGGCAGCTATCAAGACTAAATCCACAGATTGTGCAGAAAATTGCCAATAATATGTATCAATATTGATTGAAAACTGATTGTAATAAATCGTACTTCCAATAAAACTAGTCCCCTCGCAAAAACTAGTGGCTCGTACTTAGTTCAGATAACCGCGGTATTAAACCTTATCGAGAGTATGTTTTGCATCTTTTGAAATTACAGTCTTTGTTCTCCTTGTTGTGGGGTTCCGCAGTATTGAAGCGATAATAATACTTTTGCATTATTTGACTCGATAATGTACAATAGAAAATGTCAACGAACTAAAAAAAGTATCTTTGTTTACCATGTTCCACTTATGAAATTAAAGACGTGAAATGTGTAAAAACGTGTTTATAAGGCACGATGTTGCATTCAAAATGTTCATTGACACATTCGCACATTTATGGCATCTCGTGACGAGAGATCATCTTGGCTTTCTATCAATCCTATTGAGTATCGGAGGATTAGTTACAAATTAGAGATATGGATATGGATACCCTTTGCATTCGTTGATTTCGCTTTTCAAAGGCGAGCTTCGTCTTTACTCTTTTAGTTATGGACCGAGTGTCAGAATTGCATGGAGATAATAATAGGCGAGGAAAAGGTAAGAACGTGAGGGAAATTGGACTAAATGAGGTATATACCTTTGGGTTTCTTAAATAAGAAAACGAATCCATCTTATCTAAAGTAAGATCGTTGCTATGTATTCCTTATACAACAATACAATGTGTTATCATAGAGACTTTAATTGATTAATCTTGTTTCATTAATCAACTTACCTTTTTTAAACTGATGCCAGTATGTATGTCTTATCCTTGGGATTCTGAAATTTCAACCCCTCGGAAGCATTCCAAGTATTTCTCCAACCCCTTTCAACCTCTTTTTAGTCAGGTGTATACTGATGCACGTTTACAACCATCTAACAAAAGAAGCAATCGATGTTTTATTTTGGTCTTTTACTGTAGTGCATTTGTAATAATATATCACTGAGAAATATGTTCCTTAACATTAACCTTGTACACATTTAAAATGCAAACATTTGAGTTTACCTAAGTGATTGACCTAGCTTTAACTGGTACATGTGAACTCGATGACAATAAATGATGCGGGAGAGGTCTCCACAAATACTCAACTGACATTTTAGCAAAATCTTCACGTGGACGACCTCTCAAAATTGAAGAGATTGAATTGTGTGTGAACACACTTTTGATCCATTTGCCGCACACTAATTTTTGATACCTCTCAGAATTAAAGTGATCACTTTAAACTTATCACAAAATCGTGTCCATTGACCACAGTTTTACTGTGCTCCAACCTACACTTACACTAACAGTGTATTAAAATGACAAGACGTCACCATACGGTTTCAATTTTAAAGTGTAACCATTTGTTTCGGTCACAAAAAGGTGTAGCTGACACAAAAATTATGATTTAAAATTAGTATAATGAGACAAACAAAAAGAAAAACCATAATAACGTCTATATTACATTACATCTTATTCATCATATTCTAGAAAAATGACCTAAATGCCATAATTCTAAACTAGTAACCAATTTACAACTACATGTAGGTGTATATGGTACAAATTGTTGAGATAAGAATATACTCATGGCTGTAGCCAGATCATGAAAACAGGTGAGGCTTTCAATAGGTGAACCAAAGAGTTAAAGGTAGTTTTGCTTCAAACCCTGTTCCTCCTATCTACGTCGACAACAAGTTGTTGAAGTAGGGTGGGGGTTCTTGAAACAAGACTAAGTTATAGGCAATTTAACAATGATGACTTCATTTGCAGTTTCAATTGGTAAATTTTTCCTGTCAAATTTTCTTGAGGCAGTTGTTTCCCCTCTTTCATGCCTAGCTCTACCATTATATCATGTTTATTGTCGTTCTGTAAACACATACAAAGCTACAGTAAATCCCAAGAATTATATTATTTCCAATGCACATGACAGTAGACAATTCATTTATTTTCAATTCTGACCTTGAACACCCAACCTCCTATGCATGATTAAACTGTTTTACTGTTGAGCCTATGGTTTGGGTGAGGAATATATTTTAGTGAGATAGTTGCTGGTAGCAGCGTTTACACTGAATGAAAATATGCCATACACCAACTATCTATAGTATATATCTGTCAGTTGTCTATGACATCCATCTGTTAATTGTCTATATCATGCATCTCTCAACTGCATATTTTATCCATCTAACAATAACATCTATCAGTCAGATGTCTATGATATTGACCTAATAATTGTTTATAACAGCCATTCATCAATTGTTTATTATATCCATATATCAACAGTCCATAACATATTTTCAGTTATCTGTAACATCTATCTGTCAGATGTCTATAACATGCATCTCTTGTCTATGACACTCATTTGTCAAATAAAAACTGTCTGTGGTTCTTCATTTCCACAACTTCTATTTTTATAAATGTTTATGTACACGGAATTATGAAAACTCAAAAGGAAGTATCTAAGCCATCCTTTTTCTTTTTCCTTCCTCGTTTCTTTTTGGGTTTTTCATCTTTCTCTTTTGCTTTTGTACATCTCCTGCAGAACCAGTCAGTATTATCAGCAGGTTCCTCCTTAATACCTACACACGGCCTGGAAATATGAAATCAAACATCAAGCTCAATTTCTTGTGCAGAGATGGCTCTTTTTAAATAAATTAAACATGTAATGTACAAGATTCTATGATAATGAATCAAACTGTCATAGTACAAGATGAAAATATAGATGAAATATTGTTGGTCGTTTACTAGATTTTGAATTTTAAATCTGCATCCAAAAATTGTTCCAAAAAAGTGTTACATACAAAATGTGATTCAGCCAAATGCAAATCACTATGAGTACATAGCTACTTGCACAAACATAAGGACACCTGTATAAAAGCCTTTAAGTCTACTCACCAGTGATACCAGTCATCACACTCATCACAGCCAATCATAGGGCTTCCATCATCAGGCAGAGTGCATGCTGGGCAGATCCACACTTTGGTACCCTGGTCATCCTTAAATACAATACAGGATTTAAGTAAATTATTTTCAATCAATCAAAACAATCGTTTAAAAGAATTGCGATTCAAGTTCAACCAGGGTTTCTTGCAAAAGCACCAACCATGCATCCATTGTAAAACACAGAATGGCTATACAGTGTTCTGATTGACCAGAGACTAATATAGAATGAATAGCTTTGAGTCAGTATAATTTTATAAACTTTTATCATTCAAAATGTATGCCTGGATATTGAACATAATGTTAATCATAATTTCCACTTACATATATAATTCCAGCAGTTTCCACTATAACGGCACTCTTCTTCTTGCGGCCCCTTCCTGCCTTTTTCTCCTCAGCAGGTGGCAGCACTAGCTCAATCTTTGGAGCTGGCGGTGGGGCAGCAGGTGCTGAGAATCTTGAGGGTGGAAGCTCAGGAATGCCAGGTGGTAAAGACATGGAGGCCTTTGAGGATTTTTTGCTTTTGGGACTTGTTGGGGAGGGTGAAGGTGACCTTGAAGATGATGGGGAATCTGAGAAGGGAGGGGGAGAAGGGGTGGGGGAGTTGATAAACCTTGGGGCAGATTCCCGCGTCATCAATGGGTCTGGATTGCTTGAGGAATCAGGTGATGGGGTATACCTGAGGGGGGAAGGCTCTCTTACAGGGGAGGGACTTCTCATAGGTGGCGAAGGGAATTTCTTCTTCGGGGATGGAGAGCGAGGTTTCTTTTTTGGAGAAGGAGGTTTTGTGGCTGTTGATGATTTACTGGATTTAGGCAGCATTGCTCTAAATATGCTACAAATAAATAACATACAGTATGGTGTTTGTTACAAGTAACCAAACTACAGTTACTACTGCTATATTTTAAATATTTCCCCATGCTAGTATTAAATGTGCTTTTTACTTTTGACTGTGTTTAACAGCTAGATTACATGATATAATACAAGGAATGAAAATTACTTCTTATTGTGAGCCACTTACATTTTAGGAACAACTGACTCTGTCTTCAATGGTGGTGGGCTCTCCTCATCAGATGATGACAGTATCAGGGCAGGAGTGTTGCTATCTGTCATCAAGGTAGGTGTGCTCCTCTCAGACTCAGTACCTCCACCCATGTTGCCAAACTTCAGCTTCAGCTTAGGGATAGCTGCACTAATGCTGATCTTCTAGAAAACGAAAACAGAATTTTCCAGAGAAATGCTGCAGACCGTAGTAGCAGGATTTTCATTAGAATGTCAATACATAACAAGGCATTAACATGCAAAATGTCACAGATGGGGAACCCAAACGCCAACTGCCATCCACTGAACGCAGAACACCATCCGTAAAAAAGTTGGGAGACTATAACAATAGGTCACCACTTGTGGTGGTGACTAAAAACTACAGGTAAAAACAAATGGAACTTTTTTCTTTTTCTTAATTAATAAAGCAGCTTTTCTGACCTTGTGTCTCACAGGAGGTTTAACATCAGCTTCTTTCTTAGATTTGGACTTGTCCTTGCTCTTCTCTCTGTCCTTGTCCTTATCTTTGTTCTTCTTTTTCTTCTTGTCCTTTCTTCGCTCATCGTCAGACTTCTTGTGCTGCAGATAAAGATCATGAATAGTGGAAATAGGGCCTAAACGTATTTCCTCGAAAGATTTGTGTGACCTCCAATATTCAGTTAAAGATAAATTCACGATTTTTTCAAAAAATCATTCAAAAGCAAGTTTCAAAGATGACATTTTGATATTCAATAAAGAGAGGTGTTCACTAAGACAGGTTTGACTGTATGTTTGCCATACCTTTTTATCCTTTGATTTAACTTTATCCTCTTTCTTCTTGGATGATACTTTTGACTGTTCATATTTGGATGAGAATGTTGAAGATGTTCCGTGGGATTTAGCGATGGTAGTCGTTAATGCTGACTTTGTCTCATCTTGAGGTAACTGTGTAAGACAAACTTGAGGCTGCCATGGAGGTGTATCTTTCTCTCTTACAGCTGCATTCTTCTTCAATGTCTTAATCTTTAACTTTTTGTTTAATTTCTTCTTTTCTTTATCTGTAGAGATTTTCAGTTTTAATGATTTTTTTAATGATTTTTTCTTGATCTTTTTCGCCATATTTGTTAATGTCAATGGTGGCACTTTGTGCGGTTCTTTTTCAGGTTCAGTCAATGGGGAAGGTGACCTTGATGACCTTGACCTACTTA